CTATATGTTAACCTGGATATGAGAAGATCTGGAAGATGATTCCCGGAGTCTGTGTCTCTTGTTGATAAAGATGAACGCCTCTCCGGTGAAGGGAGTGGTGCGCTGAGCCGTGTCCATATCTATCCATATCTCATATATCCATCCATCTCTCACATCCCCATATCTATCTATAACCCATATATATATATACACATATTATATACACATATTTATATATATATATATATCACATCCCCTATGAAAAATGGAGATTCAAAGACCATCCAAGTTTCCCAAGCACATAGCTTGGAGGATCATCCCATTGTAAGTGCTTGGTTAACCCTGGTTTTGTGAATACGTGGGATGGGGTTTATGGTTGTCTGGTATTCTATAGTTTATGGTATAAATAGCAATAGTTATTGGGGGTTATAAACACTTAGTTAGTAGGTTATATATATATATATATCCCTTGTTCTTTCAGTGGGATGTGTGTAGTGTTAATCCACTGTTTCATAACTGTTGGGTGAACTAAGCCACGGAAAGGATTCCTGGGATGAGCCACCACGTATTTTGGGATTTTTCCTGGTTAATACTGGTTGCTTGGGATTCGTGGATAGTTCGCCCCGAAATTGGTAATGTATGGATCTAACCCACCTGGGATTAATAGGATTAATCCACTGATAGATAGGATTAAATAGGGTTATAGTAAGTGGGATGAGCCACGAAGTACCCCTGGTTAACAAGCCCCCGATTCGTGGCTTATCCCATGAATCTAAGAGTGAACTAGCTATGGTTACAACCAGTTACGATCCGTGAGATGATCCTGCAGTAAATGTTAAATCATTCAATTATTAGCTTACTATTATTGACTTATTATCAACCATTATTAACCATTATTAACCAATATTAGCAATTATGAACCATTATTAACCATTATTTACCATTATTTACCATTATTAACCATTATTTACCATTATTTACCATTATTTACCATTATTAACCATTATTAACCATTATTATCCATTATTAACCACTATTCACCATTATTAACCACTATTAACAATTATTAACCACTATAAACCATTATGAACCATTGTTAACCATTATTAGCCATTATTAACCACTATTAACCACTATAAACCATTATTAACCACTACTGGTATTAACCATTATCGAACCACTATTAACCATTATTAACCACTATTAACCATTATTAACCATTGTTAACAATTATCAACCACTATTAACCATTATTAACCACTATTAACCATTATTAACCATTGTTAACAATTATTAACCATTTTTAACCACTATAAACCATTATTAACCACTATTAACCCTTATGAACCACTATTAACAATTATCAACCACTAGTAACCATTATAAACCATTGTTAACCATTATTAACCATTATTAACCATTATACATCCCAGAAAAAATCCCATAATCCGCTGAATGATCCGGAGAAAGCGGCGCGATCCAGGAAAAGCCAGAGAGTCTGGTGGTGGAGCTGCTACATGTTAGGATCCGAGAGGGATCAGCTAATATTTGATCCTGTTTTGATGGTGGTTTGGAACATGTTTTATTTCTCCATATATTGGGAACAATAGTCCCATTTGACTAATATTTTTCAGAGGGGTTGACACCACCAACCAGATATACACCGACTGGATGTAAATCCTATTATATGTCTTATATTGATATCTATATCAGTGATAGGTGATGATAAGCAACAATCTGGATGAAACATTATCATAGTATAACTATTTAACAGATGATAGTTGGTGATTATCTGCTATAAATCAACGAACTAAATGGCCTGGCTTTCAATAGCAAAGTGTTACTTTACCAGAGGGTACTAGGTCAACCTTGGATAGGTAGTTTAATCCTACTGTCGTCTTTTGCTATCAATGGGATTATCAATGGATTATTATAGAATCTATTTCTTTGCAGGGCATCTAAGGTTGGCCATGTGATCATCACAAGATAACGTAACTATCCAGAAAATCTATGCGGGCGATAATGATCCAATGATGAATTCTGGTAAACTAACATGGCGAACTGGAAAATCAACGAACCAACTGGCCATGGCTTCAATAAATATTTTAAATTACCGGATGGTAACTATCACCCAGATAGAGAATGATTATTGGATTTGCTATTATATCCAGATAGGTAACAATTACCATCAATTACTCATAATGAAGCCACTTTATCATGATACTTCACACTTACCCGTAATTACCCATAATGATGCCACTATCTAAGGGAATAACGACATATGTACCATGCATCATTCCCCATGATTTTGGGTAATCCCTCGCATCGAGGTCGCAGCATACCGAGACAACACCTTGGGCCATGCCTTGTATGCCACAGAAGAGGAGTGGGCGTACCATGAGTAACTGCTGATTGGGACAAGTTGGAGCCATGTTTCTGAAAAGTACATGTATTACTCAGCATTACGCAGCCAAGCAGAACAACAAGGATATTGTTCGAAAAAAATTTTGTTGGTAAGGCTACATATCAGACTACACGTCAAAGCAAAATAAATGTCCGAATATGTGTCCGAATATCCGGATATATTGATGTAAGAATTTAAGAATTAAGAACATTAATATATCAAAAATTCTGTCACAACAACTCTCCTGATTTGTATACATGTTATCACATGTTCAGAATATCTTTGTTGCGGTGGGGATCGCACAAATTAGAGTAATTAAAGGGTTTTCAAGATTAGACAGGCTTACGAGGTGGGCCCCAGTTAGAAGTTGGTCTATAAACCCAATGAATGTTGGCGAGCCAATAGTAAACCTAGCATGTGCGGATGGTTTGCACAGTATAATACACAACCACCCATAAATTCATAGTGATGACTGGGGAGTGGTCAACATGGCATTGGCTTTTTACCACATGGCTTTACCATGGTTCTGTCCCCCATAAACCCTGGCCCAGCCATCGACTTGGCGGTTTTATTCTGGGCCTTCCTACCTGTGGTGTGTACGACCCATTTATCAATGGTTTGACGGGGCCATTTACGGTCGAACCCCCATATTTCATAAAAAAATGTCCATCTTTTCCTGTAGATTTTCCCTTAAACCAATTTGTTGAATTTAGCCATATGCTCCATGGTGCTGGAATATTTACCTACAAAACTGGGCCACTTTTGGGGTAAATGTAGGTAAATATTCCAGCACCATGGTGGGATGTTTCCCATCCCGATGAACTGCTTGCGATGGGATGTAGATCCTGGGAGATCAGCCCGAAATTCTGATGCAGATCTGGGCGATCATCTAAGCTGAGCCACATTTTTTGGGAGGTCCCCAATTTCCGAGTCATCATTGGGGAAATTTAGAGATTTGAGTTCATCAACTTATGAACAAAATAGCCTAAACATACAAGACATGTAACTGTCGGTTTGTTAGCTTAATGGCTTGATTTTGAGCCACAATCGGCGGAAAATCTCATGTTAAAACGAATTGTTGACATCCTGCGTAAGAAAATTGACCAGATTTAGATCCATATATATATATATATACAGTATACATATTCAATTAAAGATTACATCTTGGATTCTAAATGATTAACATTTCTGCACTCATCCCAGCTTTCTTTGCCTTCCGCAGCCCTTTCTTCGCCCCCAAAAGGGCGCCAGCGGCGCCGCGCGCCTCGATGGATGTGGTCCCTGGGAACTTTTCGCCGCTGGGGCGGCAGACGGAGCGCACCCTGCAGCGCCTGCGAACGCAGGTGGAGGCGGAGCAGCTGGACTGGTCGCCCAAGACGCCGGGCCGACAAGGGGCCGGGACAAGGGGGCGATCCCCAAAAATTGTTGAATTTTTAATGGAAAATCAATGGTATATATCATAATATGCCATTAACACCATAATTAACAATGGTATTCAACTGGTTGGTGGTTTGGAACATGAGTTTTATTTTCCCCAATAGTTGGGATGATGATCCAATCTGACTTTCATATTTTTCAGAGGGGTTGAAACCACCAACCAGCCAAAAATGGTTTAATTTATAAGGGAAAATCCTCATCTATGGATGATTCTTCATGGGTTTTCTAAGGTTCTCCCATGAAATTCACTGGGTAAGATGAAGCCCCCGAAGCAGATAGCGTTTAGTTTTGAGATATGGCTGTGGCTGAATTAACTATGGTTTATGGATGTTTATGGTAGATACAACGAACTAGCTCATGCACGGGGTTTTTAAACCAACAAACATAACTGGGGGGCACCTTCCTGTAATACCACTTATTATCAGAATTAGCCAATTCTGTTGTAACCAATTTATATCTGCTTCATAAGTCCCTGATTACAACCACACTTACGAAGCAGTTACTAACTAGGATGACCCTCCAGGCAATATGAAGGCCTCCCTATGGAACGTACTGGATCTGGTCATGTTGGGGTCCCTTATTGGAGCTATTCAATACATTTAAATACCAGGGGGAAGGAATGATAAAGGTGATTTCTGTTGGAAAATGTGGGGAAGATATGATATATATATATGAGATTATGGATCAAATACCAAGCATGTAAGGATGAAGTCTGTTTTGTTGTGAAAAAGCACCTGAAATCCAGGAAAAATTGGGCAACTTTACTTTAATATAATCCAATTCATCGGTCAACGGATTATATGTCTTAACCCATTCACGGGTTAAAGGATGGTATGAATGGGACGTGACATGTTTGAAAACATATAAACGGAAGATTACACAATATATATATATATATAATTATTTATGATATATATATATATTTGGATGGAAGAGACATAAATGAAAGTTGACCAGTGGACCAGCTATAGATCCAAATCTTAGACAATGCTGTTCTTGTGATAGGTGAGACGACAGGAAAGCTTTGCGGTTTCAGTCGTCTAGTTTCGAGGGATGCCCGTCATGTTTTTAACGCCATGTAAGAAGAAAATAGGTTAAGACTATGGATAAACTAACTGTTTGCTATTGAAAATAGCAATTTATAGTCGATTTACCCATTAAACATGGTGATTTTCCGTAGTTATGTCAGTTTACCAGAGGGTAAAACGATGTTTTAAACTACAAGGAGTATGCGGGAAAACCAAAAAATGTTGAAACTTGCTGGTTTCATGAGGTTTTTGCTCAAAAACCGCCTTTTTGAATCTCTTTCTTTGATGGTCCTAACTTGGAATAATTAAATCCCACATTTTTAAATGCCCGCTGCCATTGTTGGTTGCATCAAGGTCCATTCATATTGAATATAATATGATAGGATTTCTTGGTAAATAATAGGGAAACCATGGCTTTTCCACATCTATGTCAACGTTTACCTCTGGGGTATTCACCATTAAATCCCATACAATCATATGTATATATATATATATATGGGTAAAGTATTACGACCTCACTGCGACCTCACTGGAAAGAATGGTTAGTAAGGGAAATCATCCCCAAATGGCCGCAAGATTCAGGTTAGTAAATTATTATAATTTGCCCAGATATATATATATATAAATATATATATATATCACCATGGAAGGATTGGTTCAAATCCCATACTAGCTCACAAACCTATCATTCCATGGTGATTATATCACATTTGGTTACATCCTCCTATTTTATATATCATCAAGATATTATATCACAAACATGTATCCTGCTGGTTACTATCATAGCACAAAATGCTTGGTGAATCCCATCTACTTTGGGTGAATCCAGCCCTAAACGAGTTGTTTTTCAAAAAAAACTCAGTGTTTTACCCCGTTGAATCCCAACATGTCTAAGATATCCATATGGCCTATGAGAGAATGGGGTGAATCCAGGCACAGCCATGCCATTTGATGGGAAAACTCATGACAAACCAGTGGATGGAATGGGGAAAACCCCTTCAATGTTCAAACAAACCCCATGTATAATTCCATGTATAATGATAAATCTGATATTCAATCATACAAAAGTTTATGTATACTGTTTATAATGCCATTTTATTGGGAAAACCCCATGTAAATCATGTTAAAATCCGTATAATTCCTCCAATTCCTCCATGAAAAGTTCTTCGAAAACCAGTGGATTTAGGAATGTTCAACTCGAAATCTTCCGTTCCAACGCTATGTAAAATTACCCAATGAAAGGAGTAAGCTAAATACAAGGTGGTGCACCCCGTAGTTATAAGTTGGTTTATCACTACCATTTTGTAATTCGATATATCTACCATAAACCCTCCCATGAAATTGGATTTATGTTCACCAGTTAGCGTTCACAAACTTTGGCACCACCCTGTTTATATGTATATATTATTATTATTATTATTATTCGGATTATAGTCCCGTACTGGACAAGTTCCATGAGATCCAAAAAATATCCCATTATCAGTATCTATCTATATATATACAGATATGTTTGTTTTCCATATACATAATATTACTTTTACCAGTAGTACTGCACAAGGCGGTGGTGGAAGTTTCAATAATTTGAAACCTATAGGAAGGGTTGGTTGTTGTGAATCACGGATGGTAGAGCGAATCCGCTGATGGACCGGAAGGTGGTTGGAGTTGTGTTTTTTGGAGTGGTTGCAATGGTTGCAGTGGTCACCTCACCACAACTGTTGGATGTAGTTTGGTGTAGTGCAGTTGTAGTTGTAGTTGTAGTGTGGTGTAGTGGAGTTGTAGTTGTAAGTTGTAGTTCTAATGTGATGTAATTAGTGTCCTGTCGTTGCAGTTGAAGTTGCAGTTGTAGTCGTGGTGTGGTGCAATTAGTGTAGTATATTGTATTGTAGTGTAGTGTGCTGTAGCGTTGTGCACTGTAGCGTGGTATAGTGTAGTGTAGTCTAGTGTAGTGTAGTGTAAAGTAGTGTAATTGTAGTTGCAGTGTATTGTAATTAGTGTAGTGTAGTGTAGTGCAATGTAGTGGTGCTTGTCATTGTAGTTGCAGTTGTAGATGTAGTGTAATGTAATGTAATTAGTGTAGTGTTGTGTTGTGTTGTGTAATTTAGTGTAGTAGCTGTAGTTGCATGTATAATTGTAGTTGTAGCGTGCTGCAGTGTAATTAGTGTAGTGCAGTGTAATGTAGTGTAGTTGTAATTGTAGTTGTGGATTTGGTGGTGGTAGTAGTAGTAGTAGTAGCAGCAGTAGTAGTAGTAGTTGTTGTTGTTGTAGTTGTCGTTGTAGCTGTAGTTGTAGTTGTCTATCTATCTACCTACTCTCTCTATCTATCTATCTATCTATCCATCTACCTATCTACCTACCTACCTACCTACTCTACCTACTCTACCTACTCTACCTACTCTACCTACTCTACCTACTCTACCTATATCTATCTTTCTTTCTATCTATCTTTCTATCTATCCATCTATCCATCTATCTATCTACCTACCTATCTATCTATCTATCTGTCTATCTGTCTATCTGTCTATCTATGTTTCTTTCTTTTTTCCTTTTTTTTCTTTCTGTCTTTCTGTCTTTCTTTCTTTCTTCCTTTCTTGCTTTGTTTCTTTGTTTCTTTCTTTCTTTCTTTCGTTCTTTCTTTCGTTCTTTCTTTCTTTCTTTCTTTCGTTTCTTTCTTTCCTTCTTTCTTTCTTTCTTTCTTATCTATCTGTCTTTCTGCTTGTCTGTCTATCTTTCTATCTTTCTATCTATCGATCCATCTTTCTATCTGTGAATCTATCTATCTATCTGTCTGTCTGTCTGTCTGTCTATCTGCAAGCTTCAAATTGCAGCTATTTTGCAAGACTTTCTCAATTTTTGAACTTGACAACGTCAAAAACGAAACAATTGTGCGAGACTTCCTCAATTTTTGAACTTGACAACATCATAAACGAAACAATTCTGCGAGACTTCATCAATTTTCAAATTTGACAACGTCAAAAACGCAATAATTCTGCGAGATTTCCTTCAAAAATGGAAAGTTGAGTGCAGAGCTGACGGCCTCGTACCAATGCATTTTGCGGTTTTTCCACTCCACCTGTCTGAAGTACTGCGCCTGCCACGAAAAAGTGAGACCAGGTCATACGAAGTGCTGCACCTGTCGCGCAAAATCATCTTCCCAAAACTGAAGATCTGATGCTCCAAAATGCAACCCATCTCAGGAAATCAGCGCCCGGACCTCCTAACATCTCTGATGAACATGTCTCTTGCACTGCGCCTGCCACGGAAAATGTATCTTTGCAGATCCTCTTCAAATGTCCCACGCCTCCAATCGTTTTTGGAAATGCTCCAAAACCCCCACGTTTTGCTCACTTTTGACAAGGTGCATAATCCCATGTGCTTGCCACGCAAAACGACATCTGAACGTCCAAAAGTGCTCCGTACCCCTCAGTTTTTTTGCACTTTTGACTTGGAAATGTGTTTCGCGCCACAACGGCGTGCACTTTTTCGACGTCTCAACTTCTAAAAGTGGTCCAAAGCTGAGGTGCTTTGTACATTTTGGCTTCGACATGTGCTTCGCCCCGCAACGGCGTGCACTTTTTCGACAGCTCAACCTCCAAAAGTGGTCCGAACCTGGTGTGTTTTGTACATTTTGACTTCGAAATGTGCTTCGCGCCACAACGGCGTGCACTTTTTCGACATCTCAACTTCCAAAAGTGCCGCGAACGTGAGGTGCTTTTAGCTTTTTCACTTGCAAATGCGCTTCGCGCCACAACGGCCTGCCCTTTTTCATCTCTCATCTGGCCAGCTGGCTCCGCACCCGCCGCTTTAGCGAGCCTACTTTTCGACCCTCCGGAGCCACAAATCATTGGAAAAGCAGAGTGTTTCGCGACTTTCCTACCTTTTCGCGCACTTAGATCTTCTTTCTTCTGAGACTCTTTTTTGATCTTCTTTCTTCTTCTCTTCTCTTCTCTGACTCTTCCCATCTCTGCTTTTCATCCGTCCATACTGTCGGAAGCTTGACTTCTAAACATCCTTCGATGCTTTTTTTTTACTATTATTGTATTTTAATATATGTATACATGTTTACTATCTATATATATATATATATATGTATCCTCTTTTTGTTAAATCCACCAAAAAAGGTCCGTGGGAGTTCCTTCGCCTTTCGATCCAAGGACCCAGGCGCCTGAGAGCCCAAAGGATGAAGCTCAGGAGAAGAGCCTCAAATTGTTCAAAACCCCCGTTGGTTACCCAACAACAATAGGGAGTTTATGGGGATATGATTGGAATTACATTGGGATTTTTTAGGGATTTATGTGATTGTTTAGGGATTTTATATATAGAGCTTTTTAGGGATTTTATAGGGATTTCATAGGGATATACTGGGTTATCATGTTCATGATGATTGATGATTGGTTCGTCATTTAATAGTGGCTTCAAAAGCCATGTTGGTTGATGATTAGTTGGATGATACTACCCTTAATATATTTGGGATTATAATAATCCAAGAACGGGGAATCCTCATCAACCAGTTTTTGATGGAATGACAGAGGGTTTTTAAACACTGCACTGCTCACATGGTTTTGTCTAAAAATAGTCGGATATCCTCAATATACATCCCCATGCTGTCCCGATAATTTCCTGGATATAATCCTATTTGATTGGTTAAACTATATGACATGGATATATATCCTTACAATGTGGGGCCCCTTAGTGATTTTGGTTTATAAACCCCCATACCAGTTCGTTATATTTGCCATAAACCAGAGGTAGCCAAGTGAACTGAGTCAACTTAGATAATGATGAGCCATAAAAGTTCTTCTACCTCGGTTGAATGGTCAATAAAGGTAGTTAGCATAAACTGGCTGATGGAGATCGTTGTTACATATTAAACCCCGATGGGAATATGATATAGCATGGTATGTGGAGATTCAAACACGTGATATTGTGATATATATATATATAGCTACTATTCCCTAACATATACTATTTTCAATCATCATCTCAAACTATATGACCATATGACTATATATATTTCCCATCCTAAAAACAACTCGCACTTTCTCCAGGACGAAAAGCTAACCCAGGCGACCTTGGACCGCTTTCGTTTGCCGAAGAAATCTGCCACCGTGGCCACCACCACCTTTAGCACCACGAGTTCCACCGGGCTCGGTTTGACGGCCACGTCGCAACTGGACTCCACCAGCACCTCGCTGGAGCCAACCTTCGACGAGGCAACGGGTGCGGCAACAGTTGTGGCGTCGCCGGCCTTTAGCGCCTTGGGAACACAGCTTCAGCGCCATCAAAAATGATGAAAAATGATCATTTACCCTTGAAAAATTGAGGAGACTGGTGGATTTGATTGCCCCAAATCCAATGGTTGTTGATATTTCATGGCCATTTGGGTCATTTGGAGGGTCCCGTTTTCAGATACCAATTCTATAGTGGGAAGATGGAGACAGCTATGAGGTCGTTGAGATGTTTTTTCTTCGTTATCCGTTTTAATGTTTTGCCAAAAAAGAACTTCTACAAAGCTTGGCTTAGCCGTGATGATTCACAAGAAATTTGTAACTACTAGGGAAATTGCACATAAATCTAGGGGTCTGAAACTTTGCAATCGGTTCAAGGTTTTTCCCCACTGTTGTAAGTTGGCTAACCCCCATGAATACCAGTTAATTATACCCCCTATAAACAAAGTTGTATACGTCAACTTAGCTATCGAAACCGGGGGCCCTACATTGTTGGGTGATTTTTGCAGGGTTTCCGGTTTGGAAGCTTCTTTAATAGTTCCTATTAGCTCCTGTATTCCTGGAATATATCCCGCATGTAATTGGTGTATCACTCGAATAATGATAAGTCATAATTCAATATCAGCTTACCAACTCACCAACTGGGATGCGCAGACATATCTGCCTGTTTTGATAAATGTATCCCAGAAATGCCACAAGGTTGTTTCCCCCGTAAAAGAAACATTACTTTTAAACGGATTGTGAAGTACTCCCATTTGTTGTTAACGATTGTGAATCTCGCAGGATCATTACTGTTCCCACCAAGTTTTCTTGTCATCAGTATCGTCAGTATCATCATCATCATCATCATCATCATCATCATCATCATCTTCATCTTCATCTTCATCATCACCATCACCATCACCATCAGCATCATCACCATGATCATCACCATCACCATCACCACCACCACCACCACCATCATCATCATCATCACCATCACCGCCATCACCATCACCATCACCATCATCATCATCATCATCACCATCACCATCACCACCATCATCATCATCACCATCACCATCATCATCATAATCATAATCATCATCACCATCACCACCACCATCATGATCACCATCGCCATCATCATCATCATCATCATCATCATCATCATCATCGTCGTCACCATCACCGCCATCATCATCATCACCATCATCATCATCATCACCATCACCACCATCACCATCATCATCATCATCATCATTGTTTGCTATGTGTGTTTTGTATGAATATTTTTTGTAGGTTTATAATTTACACCTAGTGCAACAATTGGATTGTTGTTGGTCCAAACTAGTTCGATGGGGTAACAAAAACCAAAGTCCACCGAATTCACCAATAAAACCTGCCTATACAAACAAGGTGGGGCCCACGTTTTCGATAGCTAGTTGGCGCAAGGCTTACTTGGCTAACTGTTGGGTTTATGTGGGATATAACGAACTAGTATTCCTGGGGGCAACATAAACCAAGGAACACATCACTTTTGGGGCTGAAGGGCCCTGCCTCTAGGTCTATATCCCATTCCATTGTTGCAATATTCGCGAGTTTTTCGTAATCATATATTGTAACCATAATCTTATATATATATAGCATATTATAAATCCATGATATTTATCCATGATATCTCCATGATATTCCCATGAGATCCCGAAAGTTGGTTCTGTGCCTCAAAAAAACTGCATCAAACTGGCGAGGTGCCTCGGGCGAAGGGCAACTCTGCGAGGTGACGAGGGCCAAATATGGGCGCTTCATGCATCCCAGCCGTGACCCGAGGCCTGAAGCAGGCGACGCACCAGGGACGCACCAGGGACGGTCGTTGACAACGGCGGAAGTTGGTTGGTTCGCCATGGTTCGCCTAGTCAAATATACACCAAACATCCCATGGGGTAGTGACAAAGACTGAGATCTTGATTTTTTTTAGATATGTTTTATGACATGGATGGTAGGATGTTCTGCTAAAATATGTAAGGATAGTAACCAGTAACATCTAGTAATCGACGGGGCTGGAGGTGAGTAGAGCATGCATTTATATATTCGTCAGAAAGTGCTAAGGAAATACAGTACACCGACCCCTCGTAACATATTACCACGAAATGAATTGTTTTTGCACTGAAATTGCCAAATTTTCGCACAGATTTCTCATGGTTTCCCGTGCTAGTATGGCAATAGGTTTCATCCGGATAAGATCATTTGAGTTATCTCTAATGAAGGGTACCAAAACTGCTCTTGGATCCTTTGGGCAGGGGATCAATAAACAAAAACTGTGCCAAGCTTGGATGGGTAGTAGAAATTGTTGTTTGCTGTCATAGGTGGAGGTATATGCTTAGCCAGCTAAACATCTCATTGTTCAGGATGGGCCACCGTTTTCGACAGCTAAGTGGACTTAGTTCACTCAGCTAATTATGGCTCAAGATACAGCATGATATAAACATGATATAAACATGGTATAAGCATGATATAAACATGATATAAACATGATATAACTATATAGTATTTATGGGGCTTTCTCAAACCAGCTGTCACATCTCAGAGACCCCACCTTGAGGATCTGATCTAGGCCATGATCCCATGATTGTTCCGGTGAGTTGTGACGCTGCAGGTCACTATCGCGTGAACGATTCGTGTTCCTTTCAGCGCCAGCCCCAATGGGACATTGGTCAGCGGAGCCGTCATCGGCGGGCCAGGGAGGAGAAACCAGCAGGCCGGGGATGAAACCCCTGGGATCGGTTAATCAGGGATGTTTCAGGCAGCAACAACACTGATGTTCGAACTAAGATGGGGTTGTCCTAATGAGGCACAAAAAATAAAACAACGGATGGACACACAGTGAACAAAAAAAGAGCAGAAAAGAATATGGTATAGTTATGTATAGTTAAATCTCCATGTTGATGCTTCCCATGTTTCATTGGTCACCGGAAAATCAACATGGTTCCACCATTTCTCACCAGAAAATCGCCATGTTTCACGATGTTTCCCCAGAAAAATTGCCACTTTGCAGCGGTTTTTGTTGGTGCCCGTCACGGGTCCCGGTCAGGTGCCGAGCTGGGCGACATGTACAACGGCTTCGCCGACGGCCTGGCGCGGCAGGGGAAGTTTGAGCCGATGGCCCTGGCGCCGCCAAGGCCAGACGTGACCACGTTGTGCCCGCAGTCCATGACCTTTGCTCCGGCGCATCAGAAAGATCCTTGGGATGTCATTTTTATACTACTAAACTACTATATATAAGTACTACATAGTACTACTATATACATATGTATATATATATATATACATGTAGAAAGTTGGATTTATCAATGATCTTTGGGATTGAGGTCATTATAGTTACTATATATATAGATGGGGGATTTGAAGATTTATTTGTGATTAAAAATTACTTAAGGGATTGGGATTGAGGTCATTATATTATACTATATACCCAGATGCTCCATGGTGCTGGAATATTCAACCTACAAAATTGGGCAATAGAATTGGGGTAAATGTAGGTAAATAGTCCATACATGGAGCATCTGGGATATATATATATATATATATATACATGGGGGATTTGAAGCTTTAAGTGATTTCCTTACTGGGATTTCATGAGGTAATTATACTGTCCTATATACAACAATAGAGATTTTATAGGGTTTATAGGGGTATGATTGGGATATACAGGGTTATAATGTTCATGATTAGCTGATTGAGATGATTTTCCTCCAGTAAACGTTTACAGTTTGCTGTGGAAAATCGCTATGTGAAAAGGTAAATCACCGAACTAAACGGTCCCTTTTCCATAGCTATGTTAGTTTACTGGAGGGTAAACTACTATCTACATGGGGGATTTGATAGGGATGTCATGATGTCAAATGATTCATCAATGATAATTGGGATAGAGATTATGATACTACTATATACTACCATTTGTATCTTGGGGATTCAAAAAATTTAAGGAAATTCTGTTCTTAACCTAGATCGGATTGATAGATCGGTCCATGATTTGTGGATATTTATGACATTATTGTCATGATATGTTCCACAAATATCATGATATAATAATGGATATATCCACAAATGATGGGTCCATGATATATACCAGAGGTCCATGATATATTCCAGATAATTGATCCATGATATGTTCCTAAATATCACATTTTCCTGTTTGATATTTAGGATATTCAACGAAGAATGTGATTTATCAATTCTCCTTAAGAGATTTCTGGGGTGCTTGTTTACCTATATATGCAATGTTTTTTTTGATTGGGATTGTTTTGATACTTGAGGGATTTCAACTTAGGGATTCGATACTTGAGGGATTTCATTTTTTCCGGCATTTCCAGATTTTCATGATATTTCATGATTTATGGTAGTCCATGGAAAGCCATTACTTGCGGAATTTCTACAGGATTGTTTCAACTATAAGAAATTTTGCTTAGGGATTTGATGCGTAAGGGATTTCATGATTTCAAGTATAAGCAAGCTGGATTTAACAATGATCCTTGGGAATTTTCAGATGATTATACTACCTAATATATTGGGATCTCACTTGTTTGAGGAATTCGGATTTGACAATGATCCTTGGGATATCTTGGGATTGTTTGATATCCTTGGGATGTGATTTGTTTCTACGTTCGACGATGTTCAAGAAGGATCCTTGGGATTGTGTTGATGTTTAGGGAATTGATATGAATTCATAATGTCAACTATCAGAAATGTTTCAGGCAATTTGAACTTGTAGTAGAAATGTTTTTTGTGATTGTTTGATGCTTGTGGATTTCATGATTTCAACTATAAGAATAGCTTAGGGATTTCAACTTACGGATCTGATCCTGTTTTGTGATTTCAGGATGTTTCCAGATCCTGTGTGATACTTAGGGATTTCAGCTACAATAAAATCTATAACATAGTTAGTATTTCTATATTGAACCATGATTGAACCAAAATTCATTCCTGTTTGTCCTGTTTCACATAATTGGGTGTATAAAATGTTCATGATGTTTGGGAACTTATGATTTAGCCGTGGGATTTATAGATCGTTTTATATCATCTTATACGTGATAAGTTATGGATATCTTCATGATTTTGCAGATCCTCTTTGAAATTTGCGGATCCTTGGGATTTATAGGTTCTCATGTTTTCTTGTTATTTTCCCAGTGGGAAATCCACTAAAAAAGGGGAATGTATCAGGAATTGTTTTTTATTTAGGGATTTCAACCATTGAAAACATGGGATATGTTTGGGATTCTTTGCGAACCATTGGACCATAGGAAACTGGTGGATTGAATCGAAAAATCCGTGGGATTTCCAGATGGTCATGATTTATGGTTCATGGAAATAGGATGATCTGATCACCACCATGAATGATCTGTGAAGCTCGAAAATTACCACCGAAAACACCAAAAAGAAATGAGTGCCATGGTGATAGGCATGTTTGTTTGCTTGCTTGCTTCCTTGCTTGCATGCTTGCTTGCTTGTTGCTGGTATAGGCAGTATAGATGTATAGTGTACTGTACATATGTACATATATATATATAATTCATGCACCATTCTATCCTTATATGTGTGCGCCATTCCATCGCAGCAACGCATTCATTTGGGTCGTGGACAGGGAGGACCTCATCAAGAGGCATCTTTCCAAGTTGGTAGGGGCCCCCGAAGCAGATAGCATGCGTTCAGTTGAGATATGGCTGTGGCTGAATCAACTATGGTTTATGGTAGATATGACATTATATGACTATAACCCAAATTAAACCAACATTCACATCACTGGGGGGCACCATCCTTTTTTAGTGAGCACAGCTCCCTTCACCTTTGCTCTCTGGTGGATGCTGGGACAAAGCTGATGTTGGACGTTCACAGCTGAAAGTGCTGCTCAGGCATTCAATCATAGAATTGGATGACGGGAAAATTTACAGGAAACCGGTATATTTGATGGTAAAAACCATGGTTTCCGGTTAAGAATTTTCCCTTAAACCAATCCATTGATTCAAGTTTCATGCCAAAAAGCGGGTTTTCAACTTGAACATTGGCAGTTTGACCGTTTGACGTTGGAGAACTGGCTGGGAATGCCGTGAAGCACCGAAAAATTCGGGCTTTCCCACTGAGCAGCCACAATGTTGGGGCCCCAGTTCGATAGCTAAGTTGGTTTATAACTCCAACAACTATGGTTTATAATACTTATAACATCTTATAACTATAGCTAATGGGGTTTATAAACCAACTTATAACTGGGGGGCCCCACATTGCAGGAAGTTGACTCTCTATGCAACTCTGCGGTCGGAGGAAATTGATGACAAGATCCACAAGTTTGCAGCAAGCTGTGGAAGCTGACCTGATGGTTGAAGTGCCTACATGTCCCAGATGGTGAATTTCTTTGCCCTCTGGTTATTTAACATAGCCATGGAAAATTGCCCATTTATACATGGTTTACCTATTAAAAATGGTGATTTTCCATGGCTATGTAAAATAACCGGATGGTAATTGCCATGTTTGCTTACCAGAGGGCATCCCACTTATTAACCCTCTAAACCTCAGGCGACAATGTCACAAAATGCCATCCGAAGTATGCTGCTATAGCCAGGAACTCAATATTCCCCCATTATCCCATTGCTGTATTTACCACTCCCATTTGAGCATGTCTCCAATTCAGGCACCCTCAAGCCATTGTTTTTTCCCCATATGTGTCGACAAGGGTCCCCCATTGAGCTCGATGATTTAAACCGTGCTAGAAACCATATATATAAATTAGAGGATTTATCCCATATGTTCCTATATTTTTCTCCCATTTAGATAGTGGATTTCAACATATTTTCCGATGATTCTCCCACTATGTCCCACTAAAGTATATCCATTTTGAGTTCTCGGATTTGCCATGCCATGGAGTGGATCCTGTCCTCAGGAATGGGCCAAATTGGATGGGAGCTCCTCGCGATCTCAGCGCTATCCGGACCGACGACTGTGACCTTTCTGGTGAACCCAACGTAGCTGACGTAGCTAGGTCGGGATGGCAGAAGTGGATGAAGCATTTCGGAAATGTTGGACTTTGCACATTGTGAACTTGGTTAATCGTGGTTAATGCTGGTTAGTAGTGGCCAAAACTAGCAAAATAATCTCATCCCCTGTAATATTAAACAACCCCATATCCTATGCTATGGTCCCAAATATATATATATATATATATATAAATCATAAATCCCCTACGGTTTCCAGGAAGTGTTTCATATTAGGATGGGATTAGTTGGCCAGGGTTGGGTGGAGTCGGTGGTTTTGTGAATCAAAATGGAACATCCACCAGGACCGGGAAATCGAAAAAGGGAATATATGTATATTTCTGGGACCCCTGGAGCAATCCAAGTTAGAAGAAAGTTGATTGGAAACCCCTTGTGCAGGAATCACCCATGTTTACCAAACCTACTTGACACCCAAAATTTACAGGAAACCCAGGCTCAATATCACACGGATGTACGGATGTAGCAGTCGAGAGGGTGATTCCAAGTGGCCCAGTGCGGTAAACCCAACAAGTACCCCTTAAGGGTAAAACCTTTGCAAATTGGGTATGGTCCGTATGGTTCATTGATGAGTTTGTATACTACCGTATTTTGCCCAGAGTAGAGATGAGGAAGCATCATTGCAAGATTCTTGTAACATCTTGTAACCATGTAGACATCATCCTTGTTTTCCAGGCCCAGGTGCTAAAACCCAGCAAAATCCAGTGTACCATCTGGGATGATCAACAGCTGCCTGTTAGCGATGTGTTTATCAACTTTTAACTATAGTTAATTGGTTTATGATGTAGAGATGGTGAACTAACATGTTATAACCATACTATGATAACTATGGTTTATGATACTTATAGTTGGTGAACATAAACCCCACTAATACTATAGTTATAAGTTATAAGTATTATAAACCATAGCGACATTGGAGTTATCTTCGCCAACTTAGCTATCATTTGAAGGCCCCACTTTGTATTAATAGGATAATAATCTATATCCTATCTGAAACAGGCAGGTGTGTAACTTGGCATGTTTTAGCTAGAATCCCGACAGGAAGTCTGTGCAGGACTGGGATTTCAAGAAGCACATGTCGGGGCATCACTTCGACTTGCACATGAGCTTTCCGAAGCCTGGCTATGGATCTGGGATGACCTGGGGTTGGTGAAGGCCCCCGTTCGAGCTCGCGAGCCCAATTGACATTTGGATAAGTGGCTGAATTAACTAGGGTTTATGGTAGATATAACTATATATATATATTCTATGGTTTATGGCAAATATAATGGTGTTTATAATATAGCCTGGGTAAATTATGTTGTGACCTCACGTCATGGCCCACATGGCCGAAGCCTGGAATCATGGTTAACGAGGGGAATCATCCCCAAATGGCCGAAATCAGATTAGTGAAATATTATAATTAAATATACTTTACCCAGAGTAGTCATACAAAGAGTAGAAATGTTGCGGCTTATCATGAGAATCTGGTGTTGTCATTTCTTCTTGAATCTCATATCCGGGCCAAATTTGCTGCCGGAAGTCCGCAGCAACAGAAACATTCACCTGATCGTTACAAGTGTTGTTCATTTTCAACCCCAGAAATGCTGTGCGACTTGTTGAGTCGGTGATTTTGTGTGTCAAACTGGAACATCCACCAGGATAGGAGAATCGAAAAAGGGAATATATCTTTATTTTCTTGGGAGCCCCGTAAGCAAATCAACCCTAGCTGGTTGGTGGTGGCTGGAACCATGGATTTTTTTTTGTCCATATATCGGTAATTTCATCATCCCAACTGACGAACTCATATTTTTCAGAGGGGTTGCTTTACCACCAACCAGTTATTATTCAATATTTTCAAATTTATAACCCCCTACATCAGAAAAAAAAACACAACTCGAATGGGATGATAAGTTATTTTGCAGGCAGCTCCACCACCAAGCAGTCACCGAATTTTCACGGGATATCTTTGGGGAAGCGCAAAAAAAGGACGGCATTTTGCTCAGTTCTTGTACACTTTGGTGAACTAACACAGCTATGGAACATCATAATCCTAATAGGTAAATCCACTTTAAATGGTGGAGCTATGTTGGTTTACCAGCCGGTAAAATATGTTTCATGAATTGTGCGGATGTATAATAGATGTCACTGTGGCATTAGATTGGTGAAGGTTGCATGATATGTACCCTTAAGCTAACATAGCGATGGAAAATCGTTTAGAAGGCTTAGGAGACCACAGGTGAAGTTGTCATTTTGAGTGAATAATAAATGCGGTTCTTGTTATCTTATCAGTTTGTAAACCAAGTAAGTTGTCATTTATTCATTTTGTCTTGTTGGAATGGGTTTGTTACGGTTTGTTTTCAGATAATTGTGTAAACCCCATAAACCCACCATTTGGGGATGATATTTACCACCCATCTATGGCAATATTAATTGGGGATAGTTTATGATTGGGCGACATTTTTATGGTACCTAAAAGATCATGAGTTATCATTCCATCGTTGGTTTGGTTGAGGTTAGTCTCACTTTGTGGATTAGTCCATGACCTTATCTGGTTGGTGGTGACTGGAACCATGGAATTTTATGTTCCATAAATTGGGAATTTCATCATCCCAACTGACTTTCATATTTTTCAGGTTCGTTCGGCTGCCTCGTAACTCACCAGTAAGGAGCAATAAGGAGTTTCATATTTTTCAGAAGGGTTGTTTTACCACCATCCAGTTATTATTTTAAGCCTTTGATAGATTAGTTATAATATGATCCCTTTATTTATCCTATTCATCCATCGATCATTATATATCCATCAATATTTTCAAATTTATAACCTCTGGCAAATCAAACGTGGCTGACTGGAAAATCCCCAAACCAAATGGAGGTTTCGAGGTTGAGCGTCCGAACGTCCCAATGTTTGGCATGTGTGATTGCCAGAGAAGCCTCAAAGAAACTCCATGGAGTTACCCTCTGGAAAAATCACCATTTTTTTCATGGGAAAACTCACTATTTCGACTGGGCCATGGCTTCAATAGCTATGTGACAATTTACCAGAGGGTAACATCCTTTTCGAAGAATTCCATGGCATCCAGTCCATCCATGTCCATCCCCCCGCGATGTGTGGCCCTGGATCTGCGCCCAAGGTACTTTGAGCCTGGCAAGTATGATGTCGAGATGAAGGACACGGCCACAGGTTTGCCATTTTCCAAGGTGCCAGGGCGGAACAGGGCGGAGCTAACAGATGTGCCATGGCTGCCATGGTCAAGTTACATGAGATATGATATACATCCATCCCAGACCGGAAATCATCAGAATCATCATATAATGGGTGTATATATATATAATGGTATATCATCATATACATCATGAATATGTATACATATATATATATGTATGTATGATGATGATGAGATATATATATATATATATATGTATATGTATATATATATATGATATATATCTATATATACGATGATATATATATATATATATAGTTACATGATATAATGGGTTAATTGGTTCCCTATGGATTGACCATCCCTGAATATGGCCATGTGGCTGACCAGCTAAAACTGACCATGGCAAGTCGGACCCTTGAAAAGGCCTATGGCAGCTATGGCTCCGAAATCCCATACGGTACATCCATGGAAAATCATTGAAATATACTGGTGCTGGCCATGGCATTTTGATACATTTTGATCATGATTACCATAGAATTGGATGATTTGGACAAAGTTTAACCAGAAACCGCTACATTTTGATGGTAAAAACCATGGTTTCCGGTGAAGATTTTCCCAACAAAAGCAATCCATGGATTTGATGTTCAATATTTGATATTTACCCTCTGGTAAACGTTTACATAACGAACTGGAAAGATCCACCATTTTTTTCATGGAAAAACTCACTATTTCGACTGGGCCATTTTCAATAGCAAACTCACTCTCAATTTTCATAGGGTAAGCCGTTTTGATGGAATGATACTTCCAACTAGTCCCAACTGACGAATAATTTTCATCGGGTGAGAGTTGAACTATTGACCTTTGCATGTTGGGATCCACTGATACAATGGATCCATAGTTCAACAATATGACGGAGCTATATGCTTCAATGATGTTCAATGACTATATTCAAATATGTTGCCAAACTGTGACTATGAAATCCTGATTTATACAAATTTGAAATTTGTGTATATACAAACTTGAACAATGTGTATATATAAGTATTCTATTATTTTTGTATGTTATGTTTAGATGTTTTATTTATGCATTATATTTCTGTATTTTATGTTTGCTATATTTATACGTTATATTTGTATATTATAGTTATATGTTTTATTAATATATATTATATTTTTATATTACATTTATATATTATGTTTACATATATATATATATACATACATCTTATGTCCCATTGTCCCATGGAACTACAATGTCTGGTTCATGGCTTTGAGGAGCAGAACTTGAAAACGGCGTGGCAGTTGGATGCTGCGAGCGCAGAAAAAAACGTGATCTAGGTGATGTACAACGACTAGTCTCCACACAAAATTACAGCACCAATATCAGTCTTAAGATCCACTCAAAATTTCAGGTTGCTGAGGAAAACATGTTTAATTCAGCCAGATATGGTGTGCAAAAAGCTATAGATCACATCGCGCCATGCTGCGATCTGACACAATCTTCGCTGCTTTTCACCACCAAATGGATGGTTTATGACTGGATACATACATCTTTAAGTTGAAAAAACATCAAATCAAAATGGAACAGGATCATCTATATCAAAAGAATCTATCTATATATATGTTATTATATACATATATATATATATGTGATATATATATATATATATGTGATATATATATATGTGATATATATATATGTGATATATATATATATATATGTGATATATATATATATATATGTGATATATATATATATATATCCATAGTAATGTATGATTGATCTATATATTATATTATACCAATCTCTCCACCTCCAATGCGCCACAGCCTGACGCGCAGGTCATGTCTCGAGCCCAGTCAGCAGGGGAAATGAAAAGCGGTGGCATGGGCCCAAAGAACAGGTGCGCAGCGGGGATCACGGGGCCATGTCGATATATGTATAGTCATCCCAGTGTACCCCCTGGTAAACCACAAATAGCTATTGAAAATGGCCATAGAAATAGTGGATTTACCCATTAAAAACGGTGGATCTTTCCATAGTTATGTAAACGTTTACCAGAGGATATATCATATTACTGTATGTTTATTGTAGTATGTTTAGTTTTTCATTATGCCGGTGTATTATTACGTTTATTTTTTTTATTTGTTCATTTATTATTAGCAGTAGTATTGTCATTAGTCGTATACATATATGTTTTTGATGCAAGTATATGTGTGCTATTTGCATCTATATCTTCTACAAGTATGGATGATTATTCATATACCATACCCTCTGGTAAACGTTTACATAACTATGGAAAATCACCATTTTCGATGGGTAAATCCACTATAAATGGGACTTGTTCAATAGCTATGTTGAATTACCAGGGGGTACCGTATTGATCCATATTGCGGGAATAAACATTCAGCTATACCAGCTATTGTAGGGTACCGGTAGGGTACCACATGTGTACTGTATACAAGGTGGGGGCCCACAAACTTTGTGAACTAACCTACTTAGTAACGGATTCATGGCTAGTTCGCCGCCAAGCAACAACTCTTACCCTCTGGCTATCTAACATAGCTATGGAAAATGGTCGATTTATAGAGGATTTATGATGATTTGCCTAACCAAAATGGTGATTTTCCATAGCTACGTTAAATATCCAAACGGTAACCATTATTATCCATGATTCACCATCATGAAAACCACTCAACCATAGATGATTGACCAGTATCCAAGATTTATAACCATCATCAATCATTATAGACCCATTTATTCCGTTCATTGAATAAGTATCATGAATCATTAACCATCATTAACCACTATTAACCATTATCAACCATTCTATATTAACCATCTATATAACCATTTTGGTAAGATCATTAACCATCATTAACCATCATTAACCATCATTAACCATCATGAACCATCATTAACCATCATTAACCATCATTTATACCATTTTTGGTAAGATCAGGTGCCCCGCAAGGCTTAAAAACGGCCAGGCTTTTGCCCGATCGATCGTGCTTCCGTGGTTGCGCTGCAGCGGTGCCGCGCAAGACGTGTCTACAAGACTTTGCACAGGACCCAGTGGTGCTATTCGAACTATAGCTGGTTGGTGGTGACTGGAACATATTTAATATGGGTATATAGGGATTATTAATGGTTAATACTGGTTAATAATGGTGAATTATTACTAGCTGGTTACAATGGACAGATCCATCCATTTTTAATGGGTATATCGACTATTTCTATGGTCATTTTCAGTGGCTATGTGGTGGTTAACTATAACATACTATAACTATAGCTGGTTGCTGGTTTGGAACCATGGAATTTTATGACTTTCCATATATTGGGAAGAATCATCCCAACTGACGAACTCCATCATTTTTCAGAGGGGTAGGTATACCACCAACCAGATAGCAATGATTACTATAAACGTCTATAAACCCTAGTCATCATTCCAAGTTAGCAAACTTGGGGATGAATCCCAGGCGATCACTGCCATGGCCATGGCACAAGAATCAGACAGCACGTCATCCTCATCCGACAGTGGTTGAATGTGCGGCGCACTAGCGACGTTCTCAAGGAACTGCGTTCGAATTATTCTCTTCCCTTTGATTATCCCTGTGGTTTAGAAAACAGAGCAAGACACATGGTGTAGAAGTAAAGTTATGTAGTGGGCCCCTACCTATTTGCGGCTTTTGCACACTTCTGGGAAAAGACAGTTTGACCAACCACCTATATATCTATCTATGGTATCATTGTTGTTTCTGCTGTGTTAAGCGGTAATGGAAAATAGTAGCGCTGCGCCACCAGTCCCGGCCAAAAGCGGGCAAACAATGTTTGTTCTTGGCTTTCCCTCAGGACATAAGAATTTGTTCAATGGTCCAGTCCAGACGCTTGTCCAAGGTAGGGTCTTGCCATTGGCTCTGCGCCCGGCATTCCACGGCATAGAAATGTCGTTACCATGCAGACACATTCCTCCACTATTCTCTTTTTGTCTCTCAGCAACACTTTTACCAGGCAAGGCTGAACTTACCTTTTGGCTTACATCTCGCCCAAAGAAGCCTACCAAACCATCTAGAATCTAAAGTTCCCATGGGCAAACCCTCCTCACTCTTAGCCAACAAAAACCAGCAATCCAACTTTGCATGCCAACAGGTCATTTCACATAGTAGTAACATATAAGTTCTTCGACCTGCACGAGTTCTGACCATCCAACAATGGAAGATCCTAACGGTGAAGCCCTTCACAGACATGATTGCATTCGCCACTAGCGGCACTTTTTAAACTGTGAGGCATGGTTATGTGGGTTGACGCCACCTGGATCCCTCAAGAGCTTGGAACGCAAGAGGTGCTGCAAAACCCAATGCCGTGGAGACCCAAACGCGGATCCATCATTTGGAACAAGAGCAGTGAGGACCTCACAAATGTACGCATTGCAGCGGATCGGATAGCTATTCCGATGTTTGTTGGTTTTTGCCCCCATCACGTAACTTCACTTTTTAGCTGACCGGGGGGTAGCACCTTAATGATTATCCAATATCAAAAATAAAGTTTTTAGGTCCAGTTTTTGGGGGTCCAGAGAGTAGCGGGCCAAACTTAAAAACCTGTTTGGCATGGCCTCCGAGACTTAACAGGGTGAGTTGGTTGATAGTTGTTGAGTTATACCCTAGGGTAAACCACCATAGATGTAGAAGGACCATCATTGTGTAGATAATTTTCGTGGGAACCCTGTCCACCCCTGTCATTGTACGCTCATGCGTATTCTCATTGTTATAGAGACTTCGTATTGAAATAAATGCGATATGTGCCATCATTGACTTTGATCAGCCCGGAAAAAAAAAACACGATCATCAAATTACTTGTGCATATTTCCCGTTGTTTACGAATTAAATTAACTGAATCAACAGGGTTGTAGCACAATATCTAGTGGTTAGATCTCAACGTTACATGAGTCTAAATTTTCACAAGATTCGTCAGTGGCTAGATGTCAGTTACAGGTTATACATAGCCAACTTGACTGGTGATTGAATACTTGACATCTACCAATTAAGTCAGCTAAGTTAAGATGAAATTAAGTTACCCCCAAGTTGATCATTTTGATGAATCAACATTTTTACTCAGTCACCAATTAAGTCTGCTTCGTGGTTGAGCCACAAAGCCACCACTGACCGAGCTACACTTCCGACCGAGATTTGACGAGGACCTGGACCGTCCGCCTTTGCTGGTGATTGATGCCCCACCCTATGATGAGGAGCGGCTGCGAAGGTGTAGGACCCAACGGCAGATGTGATGATCAAAAATAACTCTGTTGATGGGTTAATACCTCTGTTGATGTTGATGGGTGATTCAGATTCAATGATAGTTTTATGATCATTTATATGGGTTATACATTGATAACCATCAAACAGTTGGGGATGTAGTTGAACGCACTTGGGGGGTTCTCAAAATGGGGGAACCCCAAGTCACGATGTAGGGGTACCCCGTTTTTAGGAAACCTGTTTTTTTTGAGATATGCGATTTAATGTTACGTAATATCAGCGATATAGTGGTATATATATATATGTAAATGAATTATTTACATAATCAATAATTAGGATAAATTCTATTCTGAAAGAAAAGGGTGGGACCCCGACACGTCAAAAAAAGCTGGTTAGTTACATCTACTAACCATACCCAGATGCTCCATGGAGCATCTGGGATAGTTAACCTATTTGTAGGTTGATTTAGCAAGGGGGCCCTACCGGTGTCCTCAAACATGGCGGGAAAAACCATCGCAATGGAGGTTCTAGCTGGGAAAATGGGCGAAGATGGTGAGTTGTTCATGTTACCGAAGGGTATATCTAAAGCTAAAAGTTTGTTTATTATCCATCTATAATATGTATATATATTTGGTTATAATACACATAAACAGTGCTATACCCTCTGTATGTGTATATATATATATATGAATAAATACTGGTTGGTGGTTTGGAGAATTTTTTATTTTTCAATAATATATGGGATAATCCTTCCCATTAATTAATATTGTTCAGAGGGGTTGAAACCACCAACCAGATCATATTATATACATGTCTCATATAGTCAATGTAAACGTTAACTATAACTATAACTATATAAGTATATAACTATAACATATGTATACTAACTATAACTATAAGTATAACTATAAGTATAACCATAAGTATAACTATAACTATAACTAGACTATAACTATAACATATGTATACTATACATACGAGGTCTATAGGTATCATGGATTCGTCAAAAAGGGAATTCATATCTTAAATTCATAAAAACAACATGGGGAAGTGGTGATTTTTCATCAAATTGATATGTAGGTCGTCTGTCTGAAAATGGGGTGGGAAACTGTTGATCCATAAGCGTGGATGGAATGGGGTGTCCTATTGACCAACTGATAAGCCATGATTGTGGCCGAATAGGTGGATAACCATGGTATAAACCCAATATATAATGTATATATAATGTATATTGTATCACAAAAACTAATAAATGATCACCCAATATTCCAAGTTTTCATAAATGCAAATGAATAAAGTAAGTGGTGAAAACCATGGTATAAACCATCGATTTGTGGGATATTTTCTGTTTGGATTCATGGGTTGCAATCCACTTACCTGAAGTGCAACATCCAAGTAATGGTATGGAATGGTAAGTCATTATGGCTAATACTGGGACAATAATGGGATCATAGCAATCGATAATCGATAATGGTTAAGAATGGTTGATAATGGTTTCTCATAACATAGTAATACTTTTCCCAGTTCATATTCCAGACAGCGCAGAAACCATGGTTTAGTAGGAGGTGAAATCACATATTTGGCACCATGAAGAGGGGATGTTTTATAGGCGGATGGGATTAGTCTAATTGGGTTACCCTTTGGTAAGCTAACATAGCTATTGAAAATGACCATTTATAGTGGATTTACCCATTGAAAATGGTGATTTTGCATAGTTATGTTAGTTTACCAGAGGGTACATCCTATAGATCTAAATTGCTTACCTCATGCGGTTTTCGACCCATAAATGCATGACTTGGGTTACTCTCCCATCAATCTACTTGGGTTACTCTCCGGTAATCATGGCAATTGACAGTTCCCTGTAAAAATAGATTTCCCATTAAAAGCTCCATAAAATGTTTTCCAGCTTGCCACGTTTGATTACCAGATCAATGGCCATTTCAGGAACCGATTGATTGGAGGTACCTACCATATGTAAGGCCTATTTTTTAGGCCTATGTAAAAGGATATACCCCCAAAATATAGCCTTATACGGTACAGTACCTCCATTTTAGGATCTTGGAATTCCCATTGACCAGAGGGTAGGTCATAAGGTTTCCAACGGATTGCTGATCCAAGCACTTACGGATTGCATGTTTAGCCAAGAGGTAAACCACGGCTGGGCGATCAACAAAAATGGGGACCGGAAGAACATGATACCCTCTGGTAAACCACAAATAGCTATTGAAAATGGCCATGGAAATAGCTGATTTACCCAATAAAAATGGTGATTTTCCATAGTTATGTAAACGTTTGTAAACGTTTACCAGAGGGTAGTAATATAGTGTTGATACTCTCCGGTATCATTAACGATGGCAATTGGAAATCCCTTGGCAATGACAAAACTGTAGGTTTTAATCAACTATACATGAAGGATTTTCCATTGACATGTTGGATTACTGGATGGAGTGTAGTGCTGTTGATTCAAAGTGGTTAATAGCGTTATTTCGGTCTGTCTGGCTGACAAGCATCTGGAAAATGGGTCAACCTCAGTGTGGTAGGTTCGTCGGTTCTTTCGAAATGCCAGAAATGGGAGAAATTACTAACCAGCATTTTTTTAATGCAATATTACGTATATTAATGGAATACTAATGAACTATTAGATGGCTTAATGATGGTTACCCTCTGGCAATCAAACATGGCAAGCTGGAAAATCCAGCATTTAGTTCGTGCATCTTCCCAGCGAACGGAACCTCCAGTTACAGGTGATATTTTCCCATGATTTTCCCATGATTTTCCTCCATGTTTACCCTCTGGTAAACTAACAAAAAGCTATGGAAAATCACTATATATATTTAATGGGTAAATCCACTATTTCTATGGCCATTTTCAATAGCTATTTGTGGTTTACCAGAGGGTATCATGTTTAGGGGAGTTTCAATTGCCATGTTTGAGGGACACCGTGATCGGGTGATCTCTTCTTGCCGAGTCTCTGGCGATTATCTTTCGCGCCAGGATGATCCAGAAGTGAGTCAGAAGGTGGCAAGCTGCAGGAGTTTCATCCAAAGGAGAGCTGGTAAACAATACAGGATGGATAAACTAGTGATGAACTATAGCTACTATTGCCAAACAGTACTGTATGATAATTTCATATCACTAGTCACTAGTTATTACAGGATGGGGCCCTCAAAGATAGCGAGCCAAGTTGAGATATGGCTGTGGCTGAATGAACTATGGTTATGGATGGTTATGGTAGATATAATCATGTTATAATTAACTATAGTTATATCATGGGTTTATAAACCAGCGTATAACTGGGGGGACCATCTTGTAATGGTTTATTTCATTCCCAACCTAGGATGGGTATATAGTTTAATCCTTTGTTTTTGGGGTTATAAATGCAACATGTTGTCATGAACAGCAAACACATGTGTTTTTTGGTGGACTACCAGTCAGATTGACAACATGATGTGGGGATGAGTTGAAACCATATGGAAAACTATGGGGATTAAGTATCATTGATAGATGGGTTCATGGTGATTCATCGCATGATTTTTGTTGAGTCGATGATTGGGAAATTCCCAATGGGAAATGCTTGCTGTGACTGGGGAATCTAACTTTTGGGAATCTGTGAGCCTTATTTTGCGGGGTTCCTGTAGCGCAAATCCAAAGTTGCTGCCTTGGTCGTTTTGAATGCTTATTACAGGATGGGGTCGGTTCGTTTCGTTTCGTTTTCGTTTTCCAGGAACTGGATGTTTGGCGTTTCGTTTCGTGGGAGCCTACGGTTCGGTTCGTTTCGCAAAGATGATCGGTTCGTTTCGTTTCGTTTCGCACTTATTTAACATATTTTCCGTTTCGTTTCGTTTCCGTTTCACAGACGGTTTGTGACTTCAGTGAGTTCGCTTGAGGAAAACAATGCTATATTTTGGAGAGCTTGCGGTTCAGGAGGATTGGAATTCCGGAGTTTGTAAGAGCAATGTCGAAAAAGCTGCCTAAACATCTTGCTCCTCCAGCGTTGGCGGCAAACCCCGTTGATGTTTTCGCTTTTTTGACGGCTCTAAAAAAGCAAATCCCCGTGTGGGCGGGTTTGCTTTTTTCAGGGCAGATTTGCTTTTTCCAGGGCGTGGAAAAAACAAACGGTATTCTCTGGGGGTGTGCAGTTTGCCAAGCTGCACATGAACCTTAAAATTGAAAGACCCGGGCATGGAAACAATTCCATGCCTTGATTAATCTTGATTTTGGAGCCTAAGCCAAAAATATCTAGACCGTTACTCTTTCCTGTCTCTCTCCTCTCTCCGTTTTCCCCTCTTTCTCTTCAGCAGCCAAAATGTTTTTTGCACATGCAAATGTGGCAAGGAACATCACCGGACGAACTCGGGCAAAGAAACCCGTGGAAGAGTGAATGGAAAATAGGCAGATGCCTGCGGTTCTCAACCAGTTTGCAACCGGTTCGTGTTTGCGGTTCGCACTCCAAACGGTTCGGTTTTCCACCGGTTCGGTTCGGTTCGTGAATATGAACGGTTCCGGTTCGGTTCCTATGTTTCCGGTTCGTTTCGCGGTTCGCGGTTCGGTTCCAGAACCACACTGTCCATCCCTACTTGGTGGCTCATCCCACTTAGTAAGTAGGTTATAACCCTAGTTATAAGTGGACATTGCCCCTACTTATCCCACTTACAACCAGGGTTATAACCTACTTAGTAAGTAGGATGAGCCACCAAGTATCGATCTTTACATGGGTAAAGCTTGGATGACTAGTTTGAACCCACAGGTGTCCTCAAACGTGGCTGGGAAATCTGTCATACAGTTCGACTCAGTTCGATGATTTTCCCAGCATTGTTCGGGGATTTTCCAACGATTTTTGAGGACACCGGGGGGTGTACTGAGGGCTTATTTCACCACCAACAAGCCATTCGTTATGGGGTCACTTTGAGTTGCTCAACAACCAGTTCTTGGTCTAGATTTTTTTTGGTCGTATCCCCATATGGCGGTTTCCATAATTGGGGGATCCCCTAAATGGACGGTTTATCATGGAACATCCTAGTAAGATGGATGATTTGGGGGTACCCCCACTTAAGGAAACCTCCATATATCTTCGTAAATCCTAATGTGTTATTGTTCATCTGATCTCACGTTCCTCTCACGTTCCTCGGCCGCCGTATCTCGACGCATTGGTTCAAGGGAGGTTTTTGACGTGAAATCTTTGGTCTTTTTTGCCAAAGATCAATGGGAATCTCAGGATCCAATTGATGGAGGTACATTAGTACCGTATTTTTGGCCATATTTTCTGGGGATATATTCTCTTACATAGGCCTTATATATGGAATCGGTACCTCCTTTTTCAATCGGTTCCTGAAGATCTCCCCCATTGCCAATTGGAGGTTTCCTGCGTATGTTTTTTTCTTCATCCGATTCAGCGATTCTGCAACCCATGAAATTCATGAAAATGTGCATGTGTAAAGATACTCTGTCAATGGATTGGTTTAAGGGAAAATCTACAGGAAACCAGGGTTTTTACCATCAAATATAGGGCTTTCCTGTAAATTTTCCCATCATCCAATTCTATGACTCTGGTAAACGTTTACATAACTATGGAAAGATCCACCATTTTTAATGGGAAAACTCACTATTTCGACTGGGCCATGGTTTCAATAGCTACGTTAAATTACCAGAGGGTATGTCCCACTCGATGCTCAGATGCTGGTTCATGCCAAGCCTGGATTGATTAAAAAATGGAGTACTGTCATAATTTAAGGATTATTTTGGAGGGTTATCACCAGTCATAGTTGTGGGGATATAAAGATATATGTAGCTCAGTCATATTTGAAACTTGAGCTGAATGTATTTTCGTCCTTCAGAAGTACTATTAAAAGTTGTTTCTCCCTATGAAAAATCAACTGCTGAGAAAAATCCTGGCTGAACATTGCTGGAAAAAATCTCAGTTGTGGCGAGTGAATCCTCATGTCCCATTATTGTTACATCCTCTGTCCGGTGATTTACCTATTCAAAGAGAGATTGTTCCATGTCGCAAACTGTAAACGTTTACCAGGTGCTATCCCATTCAATTCATTTCCTCAAAACCTGTTGATCTATTCGGCTGAATTGGACCAAGCCCGTGACTGAAATGATGGGAATTGGATCAACTGGATCAACTGGATCCGGGGCATCATCAGCCCAGCGCAGCTGGCGCATGAAAAGAGCCTCAGTAAGTTTTTGCAATTCAGCCAGATTTAATGGATGTGAAAAAACATATTTTATGTATGTTAATGCACGATATATGATGATATATCTCTATTTTTGTGATATTAACGGCATATCCTCAATTTAGTTCGTTGATTTTCGCAGCTAGATGTTCAACATGTCTTCTTGGGATTTCCCATTTTTCCCAATGATATTCCAATAAATCCCAATAAATCATCATTTCTGGTTGGTGAAATAGCATTAAAACCTCCAGTCATAGACTTCATTCATAGAGTTTTCCATATCTATGTTAGATATCGCAGAATCATCCTATAGCCATCCACTTATCCCAGATCAGGTATGTTAGAGAATCCACTACCCCCTGGTAAACGTTTACATAACTGCGGAAAATCATTATTTTTAATGGGTAAATCTATGGGCCATGCCGGGATTTTCCAAGCTGCTGTGCCTCGCTGAGCCCTGAGGTCTTGGACTGGCAGATGTCCTTTGACGCAAGCACTGCTGATAAGCTCATCGTCTCCAGATGTGCAACTCCATCCATGAAGGCAATGAGATCGCCGGTATCCATGAATTGTGGTTTGAGAAGGGGAGTTTAACCCACAATTTGGAGATTTCACTGGCGATATAGTGAGAATATACTTGATGGATACTAATGAGATCCATCTGCAATTTGGGTTTGTCTGGAAATTGTGTGTATATCCCGAATGTATGGACAGTTTCATGGGAGAAACTACTGTGATTATGAAGCGCTGCTCCATGGGGTACCGCATGTTACAATTTGAAAAAAGAGACACTGCTGTTCGAAGCCATGGGCTGATGGTTTCATGGGAATTTAAGCATCATAAATATAGAGGTTTCGATCATCAAAACACATGGAAACCTAGATATTTAAGTATATCATCCTATACACCCCTATCATCCTATATGATGATTAATATATACCTAGATATAATCCTAGTTATAGAGGTTTCATGGGATATAATAGGATTTTTATGGCCCTAGGGGAATGAATCTAGAAGGTGGTCGCCAAAGGGAGTCATCGCCCAACTTTCCAGGTTGGTGAGTTGTGTTTTATTTTAATCGAGATAGATACAGGATGGGGGCCTCCAAAGATAGCGTTCAGTTGAGATATGGCAGTGGCTGAATTCTATGCTGCATGGTAGATATTTCATGAACTAGTATACTATAGAATTCTATGGTTTATGGTAGATATACTTAGATATAACTATAGTATTCATGGAGTTTATAAAACAACTTATAACTGGGCGGCACCATTCAGTAGAGAGGTGACTTAAAATCATGTGGGGATGGGTCGTTTGTTACCTATGAAATTACCATTTGACCGGGCGAATAAACATCCAGCTATACCCGCTATTTTTTGGGTACCGAGGGTCCCAGGGTTTATGTTCCCTATGAACATAGCCATTCGAGGAAGTCTGCCCATTTTCAGACGCACACCCATTTGATCAATATCGTTCGCTCTACCCAGTACATCCCTACAGTTAGCCCATAGAACAAAAAACATTTAAAAAAAAACATATAAAAACCATCATGAATCATTGACTATAGATAACCATTTCTATCCTAGGTCCTAGTATTTCAATATTGTTCGTTCCTTTCGCCATTTGATCCCCTTGCGCGCGCCAGGCCAGTCTTGCTCGCCACCAAGCCTTGCGTGGCGCGAGGATCTTAGGTTGCGATCCGGGCTTGCAACGCTCGCTGGGGATTGGTCACTTGGTTCATGGACGGGGACAGGTATACGATCTAGGTCAATCTTACATGGATATTGTTAATGATGGTTAACGATGGTTAATAATGGTTAATAATGGTTAATAATGGTTAATGGTGAACTAGGTCAATCTTACATGGGTACAAACTAATCCTAACTGTCGTCTTTTGGTATTAATGGGAATATCTAGGTTCACCAGCAAAGAATTTGGCATTTTTGTGCAGGGCAAACCTGGCTGATTGGCAATGGGATGGGAGGATGGGAGTCCCCAGAAAAATGTGAATGTTGGTTTATAAACCATAACAAAACCCCCATGAATACTAGTTCGTGAAATATCTAAGTATATCTACCATAAACCATAGAATTCTATAGTATACTAGTTCATGAAATATCTACTATAAACCATAGAATTCTATAGTATACTAGTTCATGAAATATCTACCATAAACCATAGAATTCTATAGTATACTAGTTCATGAAATATCTACCATAAACCATAGAATTCTATAGTATACTAGTTCATGAAATATCTACCATAAACCATAGAATTCTATAGTATACTAGTTCATGAAATATCTACCATAAACCATAGAATTCAGCCACTGATGTTCGGCAACTGAACGCTATCGACTGGGGGCCCCATCCTGTATGGATTTATCATGGGAGAATAGTGGGATAATAGTCGTTAATAATGGGAAAAGGGCAACCAAAGCAGTCACGGGAGGCATCTCACCAGGATTTCCACAGAGGGAATGAGCCGCAAAAGGCCGGCTGCCTGCTGGAAGATTCAAGAATTTGAAAGGCCCACGTAATTTGATTATGAAAAGGGCTCGACCCATGTCTGCAGATGAAGAGGAAGAAGAGGAAGAGGCCGATCCTTCGATACCTTTCTCCTACTATGACCAGTTTGACTCATCCGACGGCACTCCGCCGGAACCATGGATGAAATATGCAGACCTCCTTCAGGACAATCCACCAAGGGAAGGTGCATGTGGAAAGGCAAAAGGAAAGGGGACTCGTCCTGCTGGTTCTGCAGGACCCCAAGGAGAAGTGCGTGAGCCTGAGAATGACATAGGGAAAAGCTAAAGGAAAAGGCAAGCAAGCGAACGAGGTTGTGAGAGGCAATGTTACTATGTAGTGGTTAATAGTGGGATAATAGTGGTTAATAGTGGGAAAGTAGTGGTTTATAATGGATGATATATAACATCGATAATAGTGGTATCACATTATTAACCTTTTAACCTGGTATATTATAATGTGTTTATACTGTTTATAATGTATAATCGTGGTTTATAATGGAAACTATGGTGACATCATCTACAAAATGGGGATGTAGTGGTCATAGAATTCATCAACTTGATATATGGGGTTCTCTGGACATGCTTAACTATAGGGGTAAATATAACTGTACTGTACTAATATGAGGTGAACAGCCTCGGGTTCATAGCTATAGGATATATATATGGGGAAATAGGAATGGTTGAGAATATGGACAATAATGGGACACCCTCTGGTAAACAAACAGTTTGCTATTGAAGCCATGGCCGTTGAGTTCGTTGATTTACCTATTATTTTAATAGTGATGTTCCATAGTTATGTTAACGTTTACCAGAGGGTAATAGTAATTCTATAATGGTTATCCAAATGGTTCTAGAATGATTAGTGATGGCTTTTTTTTCTATCGAAACCCAAAAAGATGGACCACATCGTAAAAAAAAACTCGATTAGAACGGAGGTGTTCAGAAGGGAAATCTCTTTGGAAGTTTACATGGGAAAATCATCTATAGATGTTTTTTAGGGAGATGATAGAGGTACAATCCCTATGAAACATGAGGAAAATGGTGATTTAGCCAGAAACCAGTAGGAATTTACACATTGAAATGGGGCGTGTGGAGCCGGCGTTACAAAACAAGACCTAGAAAGGAAGCCACTCGGGGGAATCGACGTGGAAATCGGTTCATTTTTTGCGGAGCTTCAAGTAAGGGAGGAAACCAAAAATCCATGGGATCACATGGGGATATACATGGGTTTGTTTAAGGTGATTTTTTATTTTCCCAATGGAAAATCCACCACTTGGGGAATCTATAGTGAATATTTTTTTCATTTTTTGGGAACCCCGAATCAGCAAATCCAAGTATAGCAGATACCCATTGGTAAAGACTAGCAGATTCTTCACATCACCATTTTTTAGATGTCAACAATCTATACATGGGGCATGTCCCGTTATATACTGATATGAAGTGGAGATTCAGTTGGAACTATATCAATGGCCATGCAACAGGAACCGATTTATTGGAGGTACCTACCATATATAAGGCCTATTTGTTAGGCCTATGTTTCAGGGAATATCCCCACAATTCATATGGCCAGAACTATGGTACTAACGTACCTCCATTTCAGGATCCTGAAATTCTCATTGATGAGCTGTAAATTTGAAAGTTACCCTCTGGTAATGACTTTCACATATGACTTTCCCATTGACACTGGGAATTGATATAATATAATATGCCTCTGGGATTAAGCTGGAACTATCATTCTAAATCAGGGGATTCCAAAAGGATTTGTTTACCCTCTGGTAATTTAACATAGCTATTGAAAATGACCATTAATAGTGGATTTTCCCATTAAGAATGGTGATTTTCAATAGCTATGTTAAATTACCAGAGGGTAACATTTTTAAACACGATTTTTGCTGCGACTGGGATTGAATATCATGCGAGGGCTGGTTGGTGGTGACTGGAACCATGGAATTTTATGACTTTCCATTCAGTTGGGAATGTGATCATCCCAACTGACGAACTCATATTTTTAAGAGGGGTTGGGCTCAACCACCAAGCAGATAATATCAAATGAGGATAACACATCTGGATGAATTGTAATGACCTTACCTCCACTACATACACCTTTGAATATATACAATGACCTATGTCTATGTCAATTTTTTATAGAAGTGAGGCCTCCCCAGTGATGTGAATGTTAGTTTATAAATCCATTAATTAGTTGGTTGTACAATGTTATATCCACAGCGAACCCTAGGAAGTGGAGTTATAAACCAACTTATCTAGCTATATAGCTATAGTTCAATGAGTACCCATAAAGCCAACAGAATTCACCATTCGTGAAGGGCGTCAAGCATCAACATATGCTTCGCACGCCATTCTTTACCAGAAGGTGGTGCCCCGATGGAAAAGTTGGTGAACATAAGCTCCATGAACTATAGATATAAGTGGAAGATATCTCCATTAAATATAGTTATATAATATATATCCACTTATAACTGGAAGTGCACTGGAAATGCACTTCCAAGTACTTGGAAATGTCCACCACAAAGTGAAATTTGATAAACCAACTTCAAACAAACAAACAAACAAACAAACAGGTCACTGGGGTCACTGAAGTCACTGGAGCACCAGCTCCGCTGCCAGACCCACATGTTCCATGGTGCTGTTATATTTACCCACATTTGGGTGAGTTTTAGGGTAAATGTTGATAAATATTCCATACAGCATCCCAGGTGTTACCAGGTGGTACCCCCCTGATGTGATGTGAATGTTGGTTTATAAACCCCAATACGAGTTCGTTATCATAAACCATAGTGAAATTGGGGTTATGTTCACCAACCTAGCGAAGTCGTTGACGGGGGCCCCACATTGTATGGTTTGTGGTAGATGTAACTTCTTCATGGGGATATTGCTATGTTGAATAGTACTTGGCAATGGTTCACCATGGGAAGTACCCACGGAAAATTGGGACCATTGTGATTCAACAATAGGGAAACATGTTCACCAACTTAGCTAAAGCGTTAACCTATAGAACTAAAGATTGTTTAGTTTCGACTAACTTTACAACTTAGGTTTCTAATTTTTGTCCAGTTAATATGGGGCCCCTTGTGCCAGGTATCCTGAACTTAGACTCCAAGACGGGCACAGAGCTCCACGATGAGTGGCGATGGCAACGCTCCGACATGGGCCTGGCCTTCGGTCAGATGTCTGGCAGGCCTTGGGCTCCTTGGGGTTGGGATGGCCCTTAAACGTTTAAAGGTGCAACGTTCAGGTGAGATATGGCTGTGGCTGAATTCTATGGTTGATGAGGTAGATAAAACGAAAATATGGATGTAACCTAGCTGCATGGTGAACATAACTAGGTCAACGAACTGGTTTTTGTTGATGTTGATTAGGTAGATATAACATGATATAACTATAATTAGTTGATGAGGGTTATAAATTATAAATAAACCAACATTCACATAACTAGGGGGCACCATCCTGTACCCCAGGGTAAACATACCAAACAATGGCGATTTAATGCTAATTCATATAAAATGTCATGCTGATCTTACAGTAGTATGGGTTTCCAACCGTGGTGACGACTGGAGCTCCTAATTTTGAGAAACCCGCATATATGCCATTGTCAAATTAGTTGGGTTAGATGAACTACTTGAGGGATGGTTCTCAATCTAGTTTCATAAGGATTTATATCCCTATTATAAGCAGCATTCCCATTATGGAATGGATGACCAATGATGACCATGAACCACATACAATGTTTTGACCCCACCACATATGGAGAACTTGGCTGAACTTTAGTTTAATTGTGTGTGTAACGTTTTTTTTGCTCGGCATCTATTGTAAGATTTGGCATGAGATGTTGCTTACAGCACTAGATGGGAAACGCATCAAGCGATATAAGGGATATGAACCAACAGCAGTTGGGGTTGAAGTGGTCACAATGCTGAGGCCAAACCTCTGGCAGGAGGGATGAAATCATCTCTGCAAAAATGCTTTAGCACAAGGGAAAGTCATCATGTGTTGATAGTTGTTGTTAAATGGAGAAATTCCCAGGGAAATTAAAATATAGGAAAATCCAGCGTATTTGGGATACATGGAGGTTTATAGCTGGGAAAATCTTCCAACTAAATGAGCCAAATTCGACAGCTATCAAGAATCACCAGCGGTCCATTTGCGGTACCAGTGCGACTAAAATATGCAGCTGCATGGGCGCCCAGAACATTTCAGCCGATCTACGGAATTGAGGGAGTTGGGGAACCCTTTCCAGTCAGCTACAGTATGCCCATGTCCACCTCCTAGAATCAAACTGTGAATTCGCTGATCTTTTGCGGTGGTTGAGACATACACTGGTTAGTGGTTTGGAACATTTTTTCCATTCAGTTGGGAATGTCATGATTCCAACTGACGAACTCCATCATTTTTCAGAGGGGTAGGGCTCAACCACCAGATATAAATTAGAGGATTTATCATGATTTATCCCATATGTTCCTATATGTTTCTCCCATTAAGATAGTTGATTTCAGCATATTTTCCGATGCTTTTGGACTATAAATCAAAGATACCACCAACCATATATTGACCATATATTTACCACTTATTTATATATATATATATACTATCCCTGGGGTAGGGCTCAACCACCAACCCCAACCACTACATGTTGGGGCCCGTGACAGAATGTGAAGCCCTCCGATCCCCATGGGAAGTTTATTCATCCTGGCGACCTATCGGATTGTCCGATGGCATCAATGTGGGGCCCCCAAAACGTGATGTGAACGTTGGTGAAAATAAACCCCTATGAATACTAGTTCGTTATTTGCGTATTATAAACCATAGTTATTGGAGTTATAAACCAACTTAGCTATCTTGGGGGCCCCACATTGTGACATTTCCATCTATCGTCCAGTTTCATTGCCCTCAGTTGTAAACTGCAAACCTGCAAAAAGATGTGGGAAAACAAGCCCGGTTTCTTGTTCGGAAGTCTGCATTCATGATGAGTTTTCCACATTTTTCCCGGCTTTGTTTAAGGAGTTCTTGTTTTTCCCACTGCAACATCCACCAACTGGGGAATCCATAAGGATACTTTACTTTGTTTTTCTTTTGAATCCCTAATTTGGGAACAGTAAGTTTATGCCACCTATGAAAATAGTGATGACTGGGGGATGGTTTATGACATTGTTTTACCCACATGAAAGATCTATACTCTCGGGTCATTTAACATAGCTATGGAAAATCACAACTCTAAATCATGGTAAATCATCATAAATCATCTATAAACATTCATTCTAGATGACCCATATATGTGTATATAATTGTATATATATATATTCCCTTTATGTTCCCTTCATATCATCTTTTTAGAGATCATTATCATCCCCAACAAAAACCCGTTGACCACAGCAGATTCCCCACAAAATCAGCCTCTCAACGCGACGGCGACGCAGATATAGCGCACCTTCGACGACGCGTGTCCATTCCTCCCTGCGGCGGCCGAAGAGTGAGGCCAGGGAGGGGACTCTGGCCGCTTGGGGGACAACCCTACACTAAAAACCAGCGAAAAATGTGGGAAGTATATGGAAAAAAATTGGGTTTTAAGTCATTTTAACAGAGAAATCGATTTTATATACCCTCCGATTATTTAACAGTTCGCCATGGAAAATCCCCATTTTATAGCTAGGTAAACCATCTATTTCTATGGGCCATCTATCCCATGGCTATGTTAAATGACCAGCGGGTAGATTATACAGATTATAAGGCCAATAACTATGGTTTATAGTAAGTATAACTATAGTTCATGGGGTTTATAAACCAACGAACATCACTGGGGGGCACCACATTGTACTTTGATGATCAGTTGTTCTTGATTTCACTGACGATTGGATTGTGGATTTTTTTCGAGCTGCAACTGGATGAAGTACCGTCTTCGACTGACCTGACCGAAAAAATCATGGCTTATGGTGGTGAAATCCCCATGAAACATAGGAAAAATATGGACAAATGATGATTTAAGCATGAAAACTTGGAATGTACTCGTTGTTTGGGTTTGTTGAGCTGGTGATTCTTGAGTTTACACCATAATTTGGGGAATCCACAAGGGATATAGCCTCTGGTAATTCAACATAGCTATTGAAAATGGCCATAGAAATAGCTGATTTACCCACTAAACATGGTGGTTTTCTAGAGTTGTTTGTATGTTTACCAGAGGGTAATTGTTGATGGATGTTGAGGCCCTTTTTTGTCGGCAAATCGGAAAAGTTGTGGCATCTGGGGACCCTAATTTACCCCCCAATGAAAAAACGATTCGGTGATTTACCCTGATTTGAGAGAAACAAAGACCCCCCAAGGCCACATTTCTTTGTTTCTCTCAACACTTACCCTCTGGTAAACGTTAACATAGCTGTAGAAAATCACCATTTTCAGTGGGTAAATCAACTAATGGCCATGTTCTATAGCTATGTTAGTCATTACCAGAGGGTAATCATCACATCCCAATGATCCCATTGCTAGTTTAATCATGTTGAAGCAGTGAAATCCGTCATTTTTCTTGGAACATAACAATGGAAAATAACCACAACCGGCAACATATGTTTTTTTTTGTGGAGTATCAAAGATTGACCATGATTAAGGAGCCTGTAATTACTCTTTGGTATACAGTAGACTACAGTTTGCTATTGAAAATCCCCATGTATAGATGATTTATCAGGATTTACCATCAAAAATGGTGATGTTCCAAAGCCACGTTAGTTTACCAGTGGGTGACCGTGACTTGCTTGGCTTTCTGGTAAATGTCCCATTCGAGGGGTTTTTGACATCACGTTTGGATGATTGTTGAGGATAATCCCTCTGGATTTGATTCTTTTTTGCATTGGGCAGTCAAAATTACCCTGATTCTAGGTCAATCTTACATGGATACTTTAATCCTAACTAGTCTTTTGGTATCAATGGGAATATCCACTAACCAGCAAAGAATTTATTTGTTTGCAGGGGTTGGCAATGGATTGTTCATGAAATGGGAGTTCTACTACCTAGGTCAGGATGAGGATTAACGAAGGAACAAACCATAACAAACCCATAGTGGGGAACCTATCAACCAACCATCCCCAGATGCGAACCATGGTGCTGGAATATGCACACCTACATAGAAACCCCAATTTTATTGCCCAGTTTTGGTAGGTAAATATTCCAGCACTCAATCGGGACAACCTGAATTGGACCATGTGGCAAGACCCGAACATAAACCCATCATGACTGCGGATCATGAAAAAATCATCCCAAAGAACAGGGTACCCTCTGGTAAACTAACAGTTTACTATGGAAAAAACATCATTTTTACGAGGTAAATCAACGAACTAAATGAGCATTTTCAATAGCAAAGAGTTAGTTTACCAGAGGCTATACCCATTTTCATACACCTCGAGCTGAAATATTGGGGATGGGTGACTGGTTTATAACACTGGTTTATAACACAAGAGGGGGATCATCCACGAATCGTAGGACTTTCACAACGGGGGATCTAAGTCAGTAGGTGAATCCATTTTTAACTGAATCCCAGATGCGAACCATGGTGCTGGAAAATTTACCTACACAACTGGGGAATAAAATTGGGGTTTCTATGTAGGTGTGCATATTCCAGCACCATGGTTCGCATCTGGGGATGGTCCTCCAAGTACTTCGAAAAATATTTCACCCAAAAACAACCCAACAGATGTCGCATGATTTGATGGAAATTCACCGTGTTTAGTGGGTAAACCAACAAACTAAATGGTCATGTTCAATAGCAAACAGTTAGTTTACCAGAGGTTATATCATGGCTCACTGCCACTATCCACTTTTTCACATCTGGCGAGGTCACCTTTAGCTTCAAGAGATTGGCGTGACTTGGTGGAGAGATGGGGTAAACTGGTGGCGATGTGATCTGGGGGATCCCCAGTCGTCACCATGGCTTTCAATACCTTCATACACTAAACCCCATGACGGATCCTAACGGTGCTGGTATATATGCTAACATGACTGGGGTATATTGATGGGATCCATGGCACACCATATATTTAGCAGCACCATGAATTCTATGGGAACTGGGGTAATGACTTGGATTTGGGGTACCTCCATGACAAAACGGAAACCTCAATCGGTCGACATCACGCTATTTGTTCAACGGTTTAACCCATGATCCCGGCGGCTACTTGGACATCCTACACTTCTGGGGCAAATTCGGCAATTGCTGAGATATGCCGCATTTGCTGTTCCACAAGTTGCATGGAAATGATATGAAATGGGGATGTCATAGCAAGCCCCTGTTGCTTGATGGAATGTGATTTGACCATGTTGGACCTATTTCTCTCAGTCCTGGTGACAACGCCAGAAAAGTGCAAAGAACATGATTTTGATCATATTCGATTGAGTGTTTATATCATATATTCAGTTCCCATAGCTAGTTAACAACCCAGAAACTGAACCTAAATAAGACATATTAATGTGATTCTTGGAGATTTTACTGGGATTTATGGGAGCTAAATTGAAACAAAGTTCAATTGGCTAACTGCTGGGTTCATGGAGAATATAACGAACTAGTCTTCATGGGGGTTATAAACCAACAAACATAACTCGTTTTCCCACCTTGAAAAATACTAAGATACCCCATATGTGCTCCAAGAACTCCAGTTGACTTGTTTCCTGCACCCAGTAAGTTCCAAAATAGTGACAGTGCGTTGATATGATTGGCTCGTCTTGGTCATATTCCCCCCAAAAATTTATCCGATGGACAATGATTTCTGATTATGGGAACATGATCCTCAATTGTCGGCAATTCTTGGCATTAATCCCTATAATTGGAAAATATCATTCCTAGCTATTGGAAAACCTATATGTTCATAGTTGTTGTAATTATAGTTTGTTGGATAGCTTAAAACATTAAAATACGTCTAGTAGGATGATGGTAGTAATCAATCGTAACTATTCACCAGACACAATTGCCACAGGTTTAGTTGGGAACGATTTAACAACTTCACCTTGACATCATAATTTCCATGATATCAATTCCACGAGTTACAATTCCAGTAATTCCTTGGAAATACAGTTTACTGCAGTTTTACTCCTGATAATAGGTGGTTGGAAACTCCAATGTGTGGTTGTTTTCCAATAGTAATTCTCATGAAGTACTGCCAATAATTAATTACAAAAAAACTAGTCATCATATGTTATAATTTACAACTCCATTCCTAAAGTTCTTCGATTTCCTCTGCTACCTCCAAAAAATTGGCATTTGATGAAATCCTATTTTTCGGATATTCTGAATATTACAACTCGCATGAATATTACAGTATAACTGTCGATCTGGAACATAACTTTGCCAAGTGTCTCGCAACGAGCTTCGTTATGTCCTAAGAGTCGTCTGCCAAGTGAAGAAACCAGCTTCGTTATGTCACAAGTCTGTGGGGATAACTGACCATTTCCAATGGATGCGAGGCCATGAATTCCGTCTTTCCCATATTTGTTCCCCCAATTCAATGGATTGGTTTAGGGGAAAATTTACAGGAAAACCCCATGATCTTAATGGTAAAAACCATGGTTTCCTGTAAATTTTCCCTTAAACCAATCCATTGACCAATGAAATCCGAATCCCTGGAAATCTCCGAACAACCCCCGGTAGAGACACCGAATGTGATGGGCTTACGTTGCTGAAACCCTCTTTGGTAAAGCCATTAGTTCAATTAATATCCACAATAAAGCCTGAATTGGAGTAATTGGAGTTTGAAATCATGATAGCTATCATTAAAAAAATATTCATAACCCTCTTGGTGGTTTGGAACATATTTTTTATTTTTCCATCATATATGGGATGTCATCCCAACCCCATTGACGAACTCCATCATTTTTCAAGATGGTTATTGCACCACCAACCAGGATTGGTTTTAAGGATTGGATAATATATATATACATTATATTATCATATTACTCTATATATATATATACATATATATACTATTATATACTCATCATTTCTCTAATATGCATCTATATTTATCTATATATCATCTTCGTGACTCACATCTAAATCGAAAAAAATCGCCACGGTTACCGCGGAGGCGGCCTGGCTTCACCTCCGGCGTGAAGATACCAGCATGACATGGCTTGGAGAGTGGTGAATAAATGTTAAGAATAGGGATAACAGGGATATGAGTATTAGATTATTCATGGTGAATAATATGGTTAACTATGATTGATGTAATACGGTTAATTATGATGGATAATGGCTGGTTGGTGGTTTGGAACATGAATACTATTTTTCCATTCAGTTTGGAATCATCATCCCAACTGACGAACTCATATTTTTCAGGGGGGATGCGGATGCAATCACTAACCAGTAATAATAGGGATAACAGGGATATTAGTATTGGATGATTCATCGTAAGGGATTAAATAATATTCAATATACTTGTAAATGTTAAATGGATGGTTAAGAATGGAGGGATAATAGTAGTTGATAAGCACTTAATGGCTTATGAATGGCGTATTCATGGAATTTGATGGGATATATAGTGGGATAATAGTGGTTAATAGTGATTAAAGGTCAATCATCTGACTATAATGATGGTTAATCATAGTTAATATGATAGTGGGATACCTGTGGGTAATAGTGATTAAGATGGAATGATAGGTATCCTTGTGACTATAACAGGGCTTGGAGAGTAGTATTAATGATGGTCGATCATGGATCATCATTAAGAATGGTCATAAATCCATGATTGGAAAATTATGATGGAAAACGATCCATGACGCTTATGATGATTATCCCTCAAAATTCATTAGTCTTGGATACTTGTCAATCATATATAATGATTAATGATGGTTAATAATGTAATGGTTAATATAACGGATAATGACCATTACTAATTATTACCTATTACAGTATTAACATGTATTAACCATCATTGATCATTATAGATTGTTAACAATCCTTATTAATCACCATTATTTTCCTGTAATTATTAAGTAGTGTTAAGAAAACCTTTGGTAAATTGCTGATGATTTTGTTGGTAAATTTCAGAGTTCCAATCCACTCCATGGAGAATCCGACATCAGACATCCGACTGGTTCAAAAATTGATAATATATAATGGTTTTTAATAGTGGTTAATTACCCAATATTACTATTAGTGATTGGTTTTTAATACCTCAATTGATAGTGATAATTACCTCAATATTGATAATGGTTTTTAATAGTTGTTCTCAATTAATAGTGATTAGTTCAATTAATAGTGGTTAACCAATTACTAATAATTAACCAATATTACTATTACCCACTATTTAGTGGTTCTCCAAATAATGAATTAAATGGATATGAATAAATCATTGATAATGTATTATGTAACCACAATGGAACAATTAATGAATCTATAGTGATTAATGATGATCATAAGTGTTTTCTCTTGTTTTCCTAGATGTTTTGATGGTGGTTTTTGCTTACAGTATGCAATGTGTTCCGTCCTGAACAAAGATGTTGATACTTTCTCAGGATCTTGCACAGTACATCAACTACCAACTAGGTAAACCGTGGATAGCTGGTTGGTGGTTTGGAACATGAATTTTATATAATTTTATTTTCCCATATATAAGGAAGAATCATCCCAACTGACGAGCTCATATTTTTCAGAGGGCTAGGTATACCACCAACCAGTTATAAGTTGGTTTTTAAAGCCCTATTCATGCAATTGGATCATATCTACCATAAACCATCGTATTCACCAAATGATCCAAATCTGAACTGATCCAGATAGTTAAACCTCTTAATATATATATATATAATTATTTTGTTTGATGATGTTAACCGACCAGGATTAAATGGAACGAGGTCGGGTTTAGCAGCCACTGCTCATCTACAACTTGGCGATGTTGGACAAGTGGATAGCTAAACCTCTGGTTTTGCCAAATATCGGGTAGTTTTGCCACCCCAGGAACCACAGATCAGCCATGCTCAGCTGTTGTGTCGTTTTCCCGCGCTGGCGGAGTGTAGACAACACCGGTGTGTCTTTGCGGCTTGTTGAAGCTGTGGGAAGGAACGCTAGATTCAGCTTTTGAAAAATATAATTGATGGGAAATCTATGGGTATATGCACAATATATATCAATAATTATATGGGATATGAGTCCTATATATTCAGTCGATCATTTTTGGGGTAAATTCCTCTATGGCGATATCCAATACCCTCTGGTAAACGTTTTCAAAGCTATGGGAAATCACCATTTTGCATGGGTAAATCAACGACCTAAATGGTCATTTTCAATAGCGAACTGTCACAAATTACCAGAGGGTAGATATTCTATTAGATCCGGCCTATCCTGATCTGGCATGATCTCTTGGTATCCTGCAAGCGGTATTATCATTTGACATCAAACCTGCAGAGAGGTTGTTCGTTAATCCAACTCATTTTACCCTCTGGTAAACTAACATAGCTATTGAAAATGGCAATTTATAGTGGATTTTCCCATGAAAAATGGTGATTTTCCATAGTTATGTTAGTTTACCAGAGGGTACCATGTATTACATATGTCGTCACCATCATCACAATCGTCTGAAATGTGCTTGGTGATGCTAGTGGTGTTTAGTTGTGGCCGTGGTTGCCCCTGGTTGTGAAGACCGAAGTTTGTGAGCAAGGGACCACACCATAGTCGAGAGATATATATATATTACTATATACATAATATATGTATATATTAAAAAAAAAAACATACATAAAATATGCCAATCAAAATTACCTGAGAATCAGTAGATCACATGGGGCCCACTTGCAATTTTCAAGTCGTCCGGTGATAGTAGCGCCTCAAGGGCAGATCGACCTTGTCCAACTCTCGAAGAGACGATGGAAAAATGTGCCGGCAGCATGCCTGGATCGGGATTGGGATGGGGTAAGATACCTAGCTCAATCTTACATGGATACTTTAATCCTTTAGTCTTTTGGTATCAATGGGAATATCTACTAACCATCAAAGAAATTATTTTTTTGCAGGGTATCTAAGATTGGCAATGATATCGGGAAAAAAAACACGAAGGGACCGGGAAGACCTAAAAAGGTCCGTTGTTGTAGGGAAGTTAATTTCTGGTAAACAAAAAAAAACGATGGAAAATCACCATGTTTAATTGGTAAATCAACGAACTAAATAGCAATTTTCAATAGCAGACTGTGAGTTTACCAGAAGTCACTGGTTTATACTCGGGAATGCATCAATTTGATGATCGGTGTTGAATGACGTCCCCAAGATGTGCTGGTCATACCCAATGCTTGCTGGGAAATCTAATACATTACATGCTTGAAAACGACGATGAAACCAAAAAAATTTGGATTTTGAAGTGGAAACTCACCTTACCAAGTCATGTTCAGGCTGTTCCATATTCTTTTTCAGTGGGGTACCCTCTCGTCATCAAATCTGGTAGTGAGAAGTTCTGCTTGTTAGCGAAAATAATGTATAAGATCTACAAGTGGATCGAGATTGGAATGTTCCATTGCCAGCGACGCCCGACTAAATCCTCATTCTTAGATACTCTCTGGTAATTTTGCTAGGGAAAATCACCATTGTTAATAGGTAAATCATCATCCCATAGTTATGTTAAATTACAGAGGGTAGTGTAATCTCAACTGTTACTATTCAAGACCCGTTTTTCCCTCATTAAATGACCGTTTGGAACATCCTCCCACTTACTGGGTCAACCTTGGTTAGATACTTTAGTACTTTAATCTTTTGCTATCAATGGTAAACTTAATACATTCACCAGCTAAAAGTTCGAGTTTTTGACAGCTATCTAAGATTCACCATGGTTGCAGGTATGTTTCATGAAGATAAATCACCTATAATCCAAGGGAATCGGTTGAATAAGCCATGAACTGCTTACTTGGTGGCTCATCCCACTTAGTAAGGTTATATCCCTGGGATAAGTAAGGTTAATCCACTGAAATAACTAGGGTGAACTAACCTACTTACGATTCGTGGGTAGTTCGCCACCAAGTAACCATGATTATCATAATCATCATTATCCATGATTTACATTGATTTACCATCATGAATCACTATTAGCCATTATTAACCATTCATATAATCCTCATTATCATTATGGGTAATAATCATAATTTTCAAAGTTAATCACTATTAATCATGATTAACCATTAATCACTATCAATCATGATTATATAACCATTAATCACCAACTTAACCATCATCATTATGACCAACTTCTCCAGTGCCTGGGTCACTTTTTGCAGAGGATTTACCCCTCTGCACACCGGAGAACATCAAGAAGTTCATTGCCGAGCACGGGCCTCCCAGTTCAGACTCCCAGGAACTGTCGGTAGGTCCAAAACTCGAAGAACTGGAACTCGGGTGATATATGAAACTAGTTATTGTTTGGAAGGGTGAGCAAGGAATGAGTTGGGGTTGTAGTAGATATATGAAACTAGTCGAGTTGTAAAGGGATATATTATTATATATAATATAAAGCAAGGAACATTTCACGTTTGGGGGCACCACCCCGTGCCACAAGCAATGTAAGAAGTTCGCCAAATCCTTGCAGAAATATGATGAAACCCCATAAAGTTGTACAAAGTTCTGCCTATTACAGTGGTTGTAGATTTAGCTGTTTTAGGAGTGTGTTAGTAACCCATGATAGCTGGCTCATATTATAAATCATACTTATTAATCACAGTGTCTTTTTAAACCCAATACTTGTCGGCCATGAAACAAGCAACTGGTAGCCCACATGAAAATTTACATAACCCACATGTTCATAGCCCGCACTCCGTGGTCGTGTGTAAACCGCCAGTCTTGTGTGGTCGCCATGTCAATGAAAGGATGGGTTGACCCTCTGAAAAATAACCTGAAAATCAAACATGTCACCCGAAAACCCTGATGTACAACAGGATGGTGCCCCCCCAGCTATAAGTTGGGTTATAAACCCCATTAACTATAGTTATATCAACAACACCTGGTTGGTGGTTTGGAACATCTTTTATGACTTCCATATATTGGGAATGTCATGTCATCCCAACTGACGAGCTCCATCATTTTTCAGAGGGGTAGGGCTCAACCACCAACCAGTAACTATCATATACCATGATAACTATAGCTGATATTAGATAACTATGATATCTATACTATGATAACTATAGCTGATATTGTATTACTGGTGCCAACCAGATCTAAGTCATGACCGGCTGGGCAAAGCTCCGCCGGCGCTTTTCGCCGGCGTCCCAAGGGAGTGCACACCGGACCGGCTCACTGTGGTCTACATCTCAGACTGGTGTACAACCATTGTCCTCTTCCCATTGGTTGATGAAAAAAAAAGAGGGTTGAAGGTTTACCCCTTTAACAGGTAAATGATGATAGATGTTATACCAAGCTGGCTCTATTTTTACCAAAAGGACATTATTGGGACATTATTGGTACTAGGGTGATGTACTTGGGGGTGCAGCTGTGGCCCTTTTTTCGGGGGTGTAAGCTCCATCGGGCTTGGTCTGTGGGGAAGGTAAGCTTGGCCTAGGCCCTGAAGTGGATAGAAGATGGAATTTCCAATGATATTCCCAGTTTAGTGGGTGATATGTTGAAATTTCCATATTCTATATGCTTCAGGATGACTATGAAAAAGTGGGAACTATCCCTGGAGGTTTCCCAGAATAGGTATACCCCCCAGTCATCATCCATTTATGGATGGATTTTCCATTCTAAACCATCTGGCTATGAAAGCACCCCCATGACTTCGAAAACCTCCACTTCACCATGATTCGCCATTGTTTTCACCACTATTCGCCAGGAGAAAAACCATGAGTCATCCCATACTTTGCGGCTCATCCTTACTAAGTAGGTTAGTTCACCTTAGTTCTTTCACTGATACTCTACTTCTCCCATCAACTGGGGTTAGTTCACCCCTTCGTCACCCCACTAAGTGGCTAGTTCGTCACCAAGTATATTCATGGACTGTCCATTCTTCACCGGCATTAACCATTACTACTCCCCATCAGTGAATTTCCCTGGATCTCCCAGTAGATACCATTAGATCCCAATAAATCCTAATAAATCCCATTAGATCCCATTAAATCCCAATAAATCTTGCAGCCATCCCCGGTGCAGGTAGGAGTGAATGTGGACTTCCAGGAGTTGTGCAAATGGACCGCGCGCAGTTTTGCAGAGCAGGGCCGGGAGAGCTCAGAATTGTCGAAACCACTGGGGTCGAAGTCTCCTGTGGTCAACGGAGTGCTTGGATATAAATGATATAAAGGGAATCTCTATAACTACTATACATCTGGGAATATAAAGGTGATATAAAAACGGAATACAAAGGGAATATATCTGGGTCAACTAGTACTTTAAGCTTTTACTATCAATGATAAAAATTAGTACATGTACCCGCTAGAAATGGTTGATTTTTTGCCATCTAAGATTCACCATGAGTCATGCTGGGACAAACCCAGGTCGGTCCAGGTCCGATTGGGGAAAAAAATGTGAAGGTCCAAGCAATAGGATCCACCATCCCCAATGACTTACCATTTTACAAGGTGGGGCCCCCTAGATAGCTAAGTTGGTTTATAACTCCAATAACTATGGTTTATGGTAGATATATCTATAGTTAATGGGGTTTATAAACCATCTTATAACTGGGGGGCACCACCTTGTATGGGTGGAATTGAAAAATTGAAACCATCCAAATATGGGTGGTTTATGACATTGCTTTACCAAAATGAATGATGATGCAACGGGTACAAAACATTACAAAACATCATATGATAATAGAAATATGCGATACAACCATGAATCAAAAGAGGGCATGTTCAATTGTCCTATTTTTTCCCTCTTAAAATAGCCGTTTGGGGTATACACCATTCTCAGACACAGGCACGATGAAGTCAAGTCCATGATAGTCTCTTCCTGTTGAAATACTGTAGATGGAAGAAAGCTTGCACCAGCTGGTGGTTCATCCCGTTACAGGATGGTGACCCCAACCGGTTATGTGAATGTTGGTTTATAAATCCCATTATATAGCTATAGCCATATCTACCATCCACATGTTCGAAGCCACAGCCATATGTCAAAAACGAACGCGATCCCTTGTTTCCGGGGGGCCCCTGTAGTTACCAGGAATCTCATTGACCCGCTGGGCCTGTATTGGATCAGTTTCAGTCGTCATGGTCTCTAGGTCAACTGGATGGGTACAATGTGGAGACCCCCAGTGATGTGAATGTTGGTTTGTAAATCCCATGAATACAATAAGTTATAGGTATCATAAACATCAATGCAGGGGTAAACGGGGCCCACGCCAACAGGGCGGCGCCGAGAAGCCGAGAAGCGCCGCGAAGCCGAGAAGCCGAGAAGCCGAGAAGCGCCGCGAAGCCGAGAAGCCGAGAAGCGCCGCGAAGCCGAGAAGCCGAGAAGCCGCGAAGCCGAGAAGCCGAGAAGCCGAGAAGCGCCGCGAAGCCGAGAAGCTGAGAAGCGCCGCGAAGCCGAGAAGCCGCGAAGCCGAGAAGCCGAGAAGCCGAGAAGCGCCGCGAAGCCGCGAAGCCGAGAAGCCGAGAGCATTCCTAGTGCACTGCCGTCAGATCAAGAACTTGGAGAGATTTTGCTTATCCCAGCCATGCCGATGGTCAATATGGGGCATACCAGCATGTTTGTGCCTCTGAATTTCATTTCCAAAGCGAGACAATACACAGGGCACCATGCGAACCAGCTCACCAATCAGCTCACGGATTTTGCGTGCAGGCAGACAGCCGCAGCATGCGGGGCTATGCACGAAATCCGACACCACAAACTCAAGCATGAGGAGGTCGGTGGAGCCGAGTGCTATACCCAGAGCTGCAACTCCCTGCGCGCGGCACATTTGCTCCTAAGCGCCAACGACACCACCTTACTCAAGGTGTACCACGGTTGTGGTACTGAACTTCAACAAGGTGGCGTCTTGAGCTTAGTGGTGACAACAAGGGACATGGGCACCCTGGCCGTCTTCTTGCGCATCCTGATTCGAAACTATTGCCCCAACCAGGCCCACTAGTTTGCACACCTTCTCACATGCGCACGCAAACACTAACCAGAATATCATACAAAACTTGTGTCTAGAACTTCCATTACGAGGAAGGTTTCCAGCTAGATGTTGGTTGACCAGTCTGATTGACGCGCAGGTGAATAATCTTTTGTTAAAAAAATTGATTCTGTTGCAGGGCATCTAAGATTGGCAAAATGACTTGGATGAATTGGGGGTACCCCCATGACTTAGGAAAGCTCCACATCGGGAAATTGATATGTTGCATTCCCATGAATCGATGTTCATAGTGGTTTATATACCCATGATGCTTGAATTCCCATGGCATGGGATGGATAACCATAAACCATACACCATGTATTCGACCCTGGCACATATGATCTGATCGTGGATGGGATTACTTGGCGTGACACATCGACAAATGATGGATGGGACGGAAGGGCGTCCAAGCCTTCTGTTTCATGAACCTGTAAGAGTCGCCAAAATAGGGGCAACATGGTTTAAACTGCAGCATGCGTTTGGTAGTGAAACCTGGCATCTTCCATCATGTTTCCTGAACTTCGCCAATGAAAATGGAGACTTCGAATTGCATCAAAAACGAAGATGTCCCACATCCAGCACTCCCAGTTCTCCTGAGCCTCCGAAGCAGCCTTCAGGTCATTCTCTGAATGCTGCAGGCTGGTCCCATCATTCACCTCTTGGGGGGTTTTCCCATGTAAACCAGCATAAATGTGGAAAACCCATCCTTTCTAGATGTGTTTTCCTAGGGAAATCCAGGGGTTTCCAATGTTTGTTCACTTCTATGTTAGAGTCTTCCAGCTAGGATTCCCATGATTCTGAGCATCTGAACGACCTCACTGTTCTCACTGGACTGATGCTTAGTAAATCTAGTAAGGGGAATTATTCCAGTATACCATCTGGTTATGACTAACATAGCCATGGAAAGATCCACCCATTTTATAGCTAGGTAAACCATCTATAAATGGGCCATCTATACCATGGCTATGTTAAATAACCAGAGGGTAGCCTTATTTCAGGTTTGTAATTATTGTAATTTGCCCAGATGATTGATCTCGTTTTGCCCGTGGATGTTTTTTGGCTTCGCGCCATGCAAACATCAGCCATCAGCTGCGCGACTTTCACTGTGTAATCATGCCAGTGCTCAGTAGACACGTCGGATGGTTTGAAATACGGTGGGCATGGATCAGAACCTATGAAATGCCATGTGGCGGGATGAATATCTCTGAATTCCAGCTAATTTGGTATGAATAGAAAGGTGCTGAGCGGGTTTTGACCCCCATCTGTGCCATGATCAAAAGATGCATTCTATATATAATTACATCTATATATATATGCAATTATATACCATCGTAAGTGGATATATCACCATAGTTATAGGGTTATTCCCCACATAAGGTGGGGTTAAGATACCATGGTTATAACTAGTAACCACAATTAGCCATCATTAACCCCTACAGTATAACTATAAGGTGGTATGATGATTCAGAATCGTATTAACCATAGTTATGAACCATCATTAAATATGATTAACGATTCTGAAGCCCATCACCATGGTACGCCATCGAAATGATCTTAGTCCCCCGTCCGTCAGGAGGCAGCCCTGAGGTCGTGCAGCCAGCCAAATACACCGGTGGTGAGATTCGGATGGCACGGTTGGAACCTGAGCTATCAAAGCCTGGAGATCTGGGCATTTTTTTTTTCATGGGATCACCAGCTAAAAGCTCGCTGCTGGGTTTATTTTCCCATGGAAAATCCGTAAAAAAATCCATGGTTGACTTTTGGTGGTATTTCTATGAAAAAACTTCCATCTGTGTATGAATCAAGTCATTCGGTACCTCAATTACATTGGATGGTATTTAAAATATGCTGAAAAACCTGTGGTTTTTTCATGGTCCCGGAGGTCTTTCATTTTGAGGCATATCTATTAGATCACCTATAGATTTTCCAAAAACGATCCGGTCAATCAAACATGGTTTGCTGGAAAATCATCCATTCATGGATAAAAATTTCCCACTCAAACCTCCATATATAGGGAACCACGTTGGAATACTGGCGGGTAACAGTGATTTATAGGGAGTTGACAACCAAAAATTACGGGGAATGTAGTAATATAGTTCAGATGATGGTTGGTCCTTCCGCCCTTCTGTTCGCGCGCGTTTTCGAAGTTCTTTTCCCCATAGGAATAATAGGGTGTTTTGTGTTCCATCCCATTAAACGCAGTGTTTCGGCATGGGGTGGGGTGGGGATGTTAACGTTCATGTTAACTTGCAGCACATGCGCAACTGACGTCACGTCACTGGGTTGGGGTGGGGTGGGGATGTTAACGTTCATGTTAACTTGCAGCACATGCACAAATGACGTCACGTCACTGGGTTGGGGTGGGGTGGGGATGTTAACGTTCATGTTAACTTGCGGCACATGCACAACTGACGTCACGTCACTGGGTTGGGGTGGGGTGGGGATTTTAACATTCATGTTAACTTGCGGCACATGCACAAATGACGTCACGTCACTGGGTTGGGGTGGGGTGGGGATGTTTACATTCATGTTAACTTGCGGCACGTGCGCAACTGACGTCACGTCACTGGGTTGGGGTGGGGTGGGGATGTTAACATTCATGTTAACTTGCGGCACATGCACAACTGACGTCACGTCACTGGGTTGGGGTGGGGTGCGGATGTTAACGTTCATGTTAACTTGCGGCACATGCACAACTGACGTCACGGCACTGGGTTGGGGTGGGGTGGGGATGTTAACATTCATGTTAACTTGCGGCAC